GCTCAACTTAACATAAGGTACTTGATCGTCCCAACGAACTTTATGAGAATCGAAATTCTAGATGGTGTTTCATTGTAGGTATGCACATATGAACATGTAAGCGAGATTAGTCCCCTGAAATTGGGGAATGTGCAATGAAATTCTTACTTAATTATCTATGGACCCCCCCCCCCCCCCCCTCAAAAAAATTGCACAATTATGTATCCAAAATAGTTGTATCATGGGGTACTTGATTTCGCATTTTAAACATGCTAGTTAGCTCGTCACACGGTGGCTCTATCGATGCCTATCATACCAATTAATCAGGAGTGAGAAAATCATTCATAGAATCGGTATGAATGATGCTTGCCATCTTTGACGATTAAGCTAAACCAACATTTTCTTTTTTTATTGAGTAAAGATTGATTTTATACCCGATCAACGGGAGGGCGGTCTGCCCGGGTCCAATTGGCCCGAAAGATAAAATGGGCAGGTTTGGACAAGTAATTTCCTTCGTCGGGCTTGACCCGTTTATCCGTATCTCGATAACTGAGCCGGTTAATTTCATAAAAAAAAAATCTAATAAATCTTTTTAAGCACGGAAGAGTTTGATATGGTATAGTTGCTCTCCAGGCCTAGGGAGTAGGGACGACCACTGTTTTTGCAAATGGCATTCGGGTGGGTTCGTGAGGGTGGTGTGGCCCATGGTTTTTCAACTTTGATCATCTCCATGCTTCCCAGCTGATCAAAGTTTTGGTTTTGGAAAATTCCCCATTATTAATTCAAGTTGGAAATCTCAGGTACCATTCTGACTCGTCCCCCAAAAGAGAAAGTCACGGAATAATCACCCCTTGTCTATGTTTTTAGCGTAATTTTAGGATTAGTTCGTATCGTCGAAGATAATTTCTCGATAAACATTTGCCTCATTTTTCGGCAGTTGGGTCTTTGAGGAAAATGAGTTAACGGAAAATCTTTTTAGAGTCAACTGAAAACCTTACATTTAAATCTACAAAAATGACTTCATCCTTTTAAAAAAAGGAATCATTTTTCGAACTAAGACCAGATCTTTGAGAGCAGAGAAAAAGATAATAATCGCTCTTCCAACGCTAGGCACAGTATCGATCTCGATGGAATAAGTTTCAGCCTCGAAACTTGAAACTTATGCACCTGAAACCGCTCACCCTCGAGGAAAACATCGTTCAAACCGAATGAAAAGTGTGTGCACATTCATGTGCATGGCTTTTGAGAGCCTACGCAAGGATGGTCAACTGAATGTCTAGAGATTTGAACTTTCGAGGTATATTAAGAGAGTCAATTTCTGTGGCCAATTTAAAAAGCAAAATAAAGAGACAAATTCTGCGAACAAGTGTTGGGTTTTTTCAACAAACACCGGGCACTTAATATAAAATAAAATCTCCAAGTGGGTATTTTAATTATCTTATTTTTGTTTTTCGGAAAAAATAAATGTGGCGAAAACGGTGGTCGCATGCACAAATATTTTATGTTAGATGCCATGACAGTATTTGTCTGACTTATACACATATTCACACATACACTAGATAGACTACTATTTTAATTTGATGTCCAAGTCACATGACTAGGTCGGACTAAGATAATGAGGCACCTTAAAATAAAATACAGCACTATCTTTTTATAACTCTTTGTTCTCTGCGCATGCAGGTGGTCCAGACTCAAGGACGCATCCGACTTGTCCGAGAGTAATAAAAAGTTAAATACCTTGTGACGCGCGAAACCCGATATGGTTTCCAACTCGGAGAAAAAATCAATATTTTTATCCGCGTGCAATCGTGTCCGTGAGCATGCGCGTGGCGCAAAGAAACAGTACTCAGCAATTTTGGTCACCAATAAATTGAAGGGAAAATTTCAATTAAGGACCCTAAGTGGGGTTAAATTCTCAAAAAAGGGTTCAAAGTGAATATAGTGTCAAATAAGGGTCTTAAGTGTCAAATCAATCTCAAATAAGGATCCGAAGTGCCCAAAAAGTCTCAAATAAGGACCTGAGTCACTGGCCGGCCAAAATACCTGCCGGCCGGCAAGAATGTTACTATTCCAGCACCGGAATAGTAACTTTTTTTAATTTTTTATTATTATTTTCTTTATGTTTTTCCTTTTCTGTTTTTTTTCTTTTCCTTTTCCTTTTATTTTTTTTTCTTCTCTTCCTTCGCCGCCCATAGCCGGGGCCGGCGGAGGTCGCCGGCCTCAGGCGAGGCCGCTCTCGCCGGCGTCGGGTGAGGGCCGCCCTCGCCTGAGCTGGGCGAGGTCGGACTCGCCAATTGCCGGCGAGGTCAAGCCTCACCAGCGGCCGGCGGCGCCGAGCCCTCGCCAGATCTAACGAGGCTCGACCTCGCCGCAAGAACGGCGCGGCTCGGCCCCAGCCGCGCCGGGCGAGGCTCGACCTCGCCGCCTCGCCCAACGCCGGCGAGGTTGAGCTGGCCGGTTTTGGCGAGGGCTCGACCTCGCCCGACGCCGGCGGCAGGTCGAGCCCTCGCCAAAACTGGCCAGGCTCGACCTCGCCGTTGCTGGGCGAGGTCGAGCCTCGCCCATTGCCGGCGAGGTCGAGACTCGCCAGATCTGGGGAGGGCTTGGCCCCGCCGGCCGCTGGCGAGGGCGGCCCTCGCCCAACGCCGGCGGAGGAAGAGAAGAAAAAAAAAAAAATTAAAAAGTTATTGTTCCAATGCCGGAATAGTAACATTCTTGCCGGCCGGCAGGTATTTTGGCCGACCGGCGACCCAGGCCCTTATTTGAGACTTTTTGGGCACTTCGGGTCTTTATTTGAGACTGATTGGACACTTCATGCCCTTATTTGACACTATATTCACTTTGGACCCTTTTTTGAGAATTTGACCCCACTTGGGGTCCTTAATTAAAATTTTCCCTAAATTGAATATGAGATGCCTAGTTTATGATTGAACGTGGCCTAAGGCGCCGTTTGTTTCGCGAAAAATGTGATGTTTCTAGAAATTATTTTTCAATAAATTATTTTTTTAAAAATGACAATATTTTTCGGTTTTTGGCTGAAACCTGAAAATGATCTGAAAAATATTTTCCATCGTTTAGTATGAAGAATTTGATTTGATTTTCTTAAGTAGACATTCACTATCCAGACGTTACTAACTTATGCATAAACAGCCAATGAACCAGATACGGGCAGTAAAGTCCTAGGTTCGGCCTCGATGGATACCAACAGGGCATCGGGATTGGGGCACAGGCACTTGGGTCTGTGGACCTGGTCCTAAGTATTGGAGATCCGAGCTCGGGTATCGAGATCCCACGCTTGGCCTTTGTGAACCCGAGCTTAGGTGTTGGGGCATTGAGCACCTGGGACGTAGGCATGGGTGCCGAGATCTAGGCACCAACACCATGGTCATAGGCCTGGCCTCAATGGACCCTAGCTTGAGTACTAGAGACTCGATCCTAGATGCTGGGGACCTACGGACCAACATCGGAGTTTTCATGCCCAAGCGTAGAGTTTCGGGTTATGCGTTAATACCTAATCATATTTTGAAAAACGATTTCCGATTTTCTAAGGAAAAAATCATTTTCTAGGATTTAAACATAAGTTCTCCATTATCTAAGAAAACATTTTCCGTTAACTCACTTTCATAGGCAAATTAAATATCGAAAAGTATTTTTTACAATACAAATAGAGCTTAAATTGTCTTTCAATATCTTGCAATCGAGGCCTAATCTCGATGCTAGTGACATGTGCAATTGGGTATGCCTGGATGAGGTCTAATCGCGTTCCTGTTACAAATTGCTCGACCAATCAAGGTCAAGCAATTTACACGTCAGATGGGAGCTATCCTGTTTTAAATAGCTAATGAGGTACGTTCCAAAACATTCGAACGCATTTATATACATCTAATTGTATTTCCTTGGTGTGTTAAACATGCGAATCGAATGATAAGCGATGCCTGATCGAGTCGTAAATGCGTCGTGTGGTCGATAAACATGCCGTATTTGGAAAACGAAATGGGACATCACGACGATGCGCGGGCGCACGAGTAACGACGGGGGGAAGGAGCAGTGATGAGGACAGCCTGCCAAGGCCAGTTGGGTCCCCTATGCATGCACGGGACGCGGGGGCTCCACGGCCCGTGTGACGTTTCAAGCAAAGCGATGGCGGATGACAGATCTAACTTCCCTTGCCTTTGAAGGGAAGGTACCATTTACAACACCAGCTTCTCTCCCTTTGTAAAATGTGTTTGTTGCAGCTGCACAGTTCTTATGACAGCATCATTAGCCATACGAACCACCCGACTGCTAATATAATAATTAGAGGTTTTTGAAGTAATCCTGGTTCAAAGGTCAACAAAATTAGCTCTCAATGAAAGAGCATAGACAACGGTCCGTGACGGACGCGACCATCGGCTAAAAACCCTATTCCTCCCAAACCGACTAGGCATGATGGCCGTTATCGGTCGTCAAATATAGTCTACTTGTTTAAAAAATCGCCTTACGGGCCAGGCATGTCATTAAATTAACCGATTTCATGAATCAGTCTCGGTTAGCCTGGCAATTTACGCCGGCGATTCATAGCCGATGGTGTTACCGTCCGCATTGGGATTGAGGACCACATGCTTTCACTTTCTTTCGAAGACGCCGTGAGGAGCATAATAAGCCTATGTCTAGTCTCCGCACTCGAATAATCATCACCCGAAATGTCGGTGCGTAAGAACCGCTGCATCCGACGACGGAGAGTAGTCGTGTCGTTGAGGAGTCTCGGACACCCCCATTGTTTGTGGACCGATGAAGGAGAAGCAAAGGCTAATGGCGCCATGGGCCCTGAGCGATGCGTTCAGCAGCCCAGTTCAATGAACAGCCCGTCACCATTGAAGCCCAACTTACGCTGAGATTGGCCCAACCACTGAACAAAGCCCGCCTTCTTCGTCTTCTCCTGCTATCATGCCCTACCCTCTCTGTCTCTCTCCCTCAGCGCACTTGATCGGTTGAAGTGGTTCAGTTTCGTCTTTGAAAGAGCAAAATTTGGTTTCGAGCTTGTTATCGCGTGCTTGCGGATATGCTCTAGAAGAAGCTGACGAAAAGGTACGTAATTTTACTGCTTGCGCGCACCAGGTGTTCGACGAAATGCCCGTTTGTCAGAAACTTACGTTTTCCGAGCCATGATGCCCCTCTTTTTGTTTCCTTTGTAGTTTTTTTCGGTTTGTGATTTAAGCTTAATTTGTTCCGTAGACACCCAGGTCTCAGTCTCTTCCTATAAACGAACGATTCTGATCATTGTTGTAGCTTAAAGTAAGAGCCTTTAAGCAGCCATGGCTGCACCCAAGACGAGGGCCAGCAGTTTCTCGAGGAACGTACCATCTACAGCTGCGTCTCAGGTGCCAGGAGTGAAGAGTGGGCCGAATGGGACTCTCTTTTTGTCCTCTGGAATATCGGACCTTGACAGTGAGTTCCCTGTTATATGTCATATTGGCGATATTGCATTGAGAGTGTTGTACTGTGTAACTCATAATGTAGAGCTTTCTCTTGTGATCAAAACTCTCAGAAATATTAGGGGGTGGCTTTCCTCTTGGAAGTTTGGTTGTTGTCATGGAAGACCCAGAGGCACCGCATCATATGCTTTTGTTGAGGAATTTTATGTCTCAAGGACTTGTTCACAATCAACCCCTTTTGTACGCAAGTCCTGCCAAAGACCCAAGAGGGTTTCTGGGTACTTTGCCTAGTCCTGCATCGTCTAAAGAAGATAAGCCGCTCGACCGTGATTCTGAACAGGTGCCCCCCTTTCTTACTCTTTGATAACTTAGATGGATCGAAATAAGGTTGTTCACTGAGCTACTTCACCTAAAATTCACAGGAGAAAGGCTTGCGGATTGCTTGGCAGTACAAAAAGTATTTTGGAGAAAATCAGCCGAATTCAAATAGCCAAAGAGGTAAAATCATATTTTTGGGCTGTCCATGTCTTATTATTGGTCAGGACTAGACTAAGATCGTGATTCACCTCTTACTTTGAAATAAGCGTGAACCATTTCTTGACTCTTGATTTGATCTCCTGATACTGTGGCTTCTTCACTTAATATTGATTTCTTTCTGAAAATCAAGTGATGGATATCAATTCCGTACCATAGTCCTTGTTAAGTTGAAGTAATACAAGATTATAGCTATGGCTCTATAGTAAGGGGCCTTTCTTTGCAATCTGCTATGTGGAACCTAATGAAACATGATGTCATTAGCTATTCAATTGCAAGATGCTCCTTTTTATGGTACGGGGCCTATAGGCAATAGGTGACTGTTTACATGAGTCCCTTGATTTAAAATTTTACAAGATCTTGTATCTCTGTTATAGGACATCTAAGTTAAATGAAGATGCTGTTTTATTACGTTGAAGAAGGAATAACTTAATCAGCTGGAGATAGATTGTTGAGAGTTCATTATGCTATAGCCATGCAGATAATAAGTTCGAGTTCTGCAATGAGTTTGATTTGCGGAAGCCCTTGCAAAGGCAGTTTCTCAGTGGACAACGCATAGAGTGTATAAGCACTCAAGATTCTCCAGATCTTGCTGCTCTCCATGATCGTTGTGCAACATTTCTAAGACAGTTTTGCAGGTACGTTTCCAAGTACTCTTATATATGCTTTTGTTTTTCAGACCAACAGAATGTGGATTCTATTTAGCAACACTAATTGATTTTTGCCTATTTAAAAAGTTGGTTCATTTGAGTAAGTCTATCTCTAGCATTCTGTGTCTGGAAACTGGAATTGAACTGTTTGAAGCAGTTTTACCTTTAAAATCATCATGTTTGTGCGTCTTCTTCTACCAAGCTTCGAATCCTTGTGGTTATTGAACCTTTTTGTGCAGAACCGATGGCAACATTTCGGGTGCTGGCCGCATTGCAATCCAATCTTTTTGTGCCCCGCAATGTACATATTTTGACCAGGTTAGTCATAATTCAGAAGTTGTTCAGGATGGCCTTGATAGATTCCAGAACAATTTTGGTCTATATGTTTATATTGTATTCTGAAGCTGTCCTGTCTTTGCCTTGTTTTATCTGACTGTCTAATGTTATTGTTATCAACGTTTCTCCTCCAGGAATGGCATGTTCTTTCATTCATAAGATCACTGAGAAGCATGATTAGGTCTTCGAATGCAGTTGTAATTCTGTCCTTCCCACCGTCCCTACTTTCTCCCTCTTTCTCTAAAAGATTGCAGCATATGGCAGATACATTGCTCTCAGTCAGAGCGATCCCAGGTTTATCATATGTTCTTGCCTCTCCTCTCCTTCTAGTTTTAGTTCAATTAAAGACGGAGATTAGAAAAGGCGCTTGTACTCCCTGACTTCTTTCCAAATTTTGGATTCCAGTTTTATACTGTTGATCCAATCAACTTTGCCTTGAACTATGTGGGTCAGATTGCGGACTACTGCTCCATCTTGATTCTGTTTTCAGTTTTTAGTTTTCTTTATATAACAACTCTATCGGTATAGTGTTTCTGATTTATTTTACCATAGTACTTCGAAGGTAAAATTGATTTTGTTGATAGTATGAGGAATTAAAATCGAACTTATAAGCAAGTGTAAGAAACAATGTTCATCACTGAATGTTTTTTTGACAAATGCTTGTCCAGATGAGGACAAAGACTTGGCAAAACTTCTCACAGGCTACCAAGACATGATTGGACTTCTCAGTGTACACAAAGTAGCACGTATTAATACACAGGTATCAAACAACTTTCTCCTGCCGTGTAGATTGGCGGAATTTTAGCATGTTGCCATATTGATTTCTTTCCTTCTATTTTTATAAACACGTAACATGCATAATCATTATTCAGGTTCCTATCATTCTTGAGGCAGCGACGTTCTCCATAAAGTTGCAAAAGCGCAAGTTTTTGGTGCTTGAATGTCTGAATCAAGCTCCTGTTGATGGTTCAAGTGGCACGTCATATGCTACTTCTGGGAGCTGTTCTGGTTCTTCTAAGGGCGGGTCCCTCGACTTTTAGCCTGTATCAGCACATAGAGAAGCCACATAACGTCGAGAGATTGGCGGAATTTTAGCATGTCCTGGAAGCAAAGACGTCCATTTTTGGCTGGCACCGGCAGAGCCATTCGTCTTTTGTGTTCAATTAATCTCTCTTTCCCGGTCAGACATTCGTTTACCGTTGCAAAGTTGAATTAGAAATTAGAAGCAAGATCGTCGCAATGTTTTCTGCGTGGTAGAATGAGTACTGTCAGGATATTTTTTCCTAAGTTTTGTACTGTTATGTAGCTAGATTCAATTCTATTTACCTCTCACGTACTATTAACTCTTTTGTGGCATTCAAAGAATGATGAACTCCTCTCACTGCAACACCCACTATAGATATTTTGACTCCCAGTGTCTATCAGTGAATTATGTGGGACGAAAAAATGAACAGATAATCTTTATTGTGCCCTCAAACATTCTAGTTATAATTATCTCAACGAGCGACCCAAGCGATTATGCATCTTGCTGACACAGAGCGAGAGAAGAAATATGCATTTTCCTCTATAAACAGTGGTTTCTGTAATTCATTCAACCCAAAGAGTGCATTTGCAAGTTGTAATGCTACCAAATCTCTCCATTTCTCGTTTCCTTTTCCTTCCATAAATTCTCCGATTTAAATGGCAGAAAAGTTTCCGTATTAATACTTTTTCTCGTTGGAGGGGCGACCGTCCCTTGAAGTACCAAAGAAAAAAGGGTCAACTGCACGATGCGGCGATCAAATTCTTGGGGGGAATCGGCAACTTCATGATGTTTTAACGGCTCACGCTTTTTTAATGTTCTTTTTTATGGTTATGCCAACCAAACAATAGGTGGATCTGGTAATTGGTCTGTTCCTTTGGCTACACAGGTAGGTAATGTTTCTACTACTACCCCCCACTAGGCTTAAAACTCTCAAACCAACCAGAAAGCAACGATATTTGATTTCTGCATCAGACATCAACTGGTAGAATATCATACTTTCATGCACACTGTAATTCCTGTCAGCTTGTCATGTTCGCCAAACTTTGAACTATTTGCAGAGGAAGAATGCGCCAAGTCATGGGTAGAGTGGCCCCCTATGGCCGAACACCATTCTTCTCTTTCATCGCTGATATCATGAGTGTGGCCATATTCAGCATCTGACTCACTAATGGACATTTCATCTTCAGAGCCATCCTCAGATTCAGTTTCAGATAGATCTGAAAAATCACTATCCAGTGGCGAGTAATCTCTTGAAAGGCTGTCATCTGTCACACATTGTCTATCTATCTTCGAGCTATCAACTTCCTTGGATCCAATTGTACCATTTGCCGGTATGTCCAAGATTGTTATGGGATTCCTGCTATTTGGGTCCCCATAGAGTGCTGTGTGCCTGTAGTAAAGCTCCAGTTCTTTCTCTGCAATAGCAATAAAGCGCCTCACGGACTCGAGCGACTGCTCGTACTTCGATTTTTCAAGAGCCTGCAAAGAGGACAAAGGCTTGGTTAGCACCAGAGTAAAGAATCGACATTACCAGGCAATAATTATTTGAACTTAAGACAAAGTTAGCACCACTCTTAGGATGGGCTCCAAAATCATATATTTCACTGTAGTTTTACGAGATAAGAATTTAGACTAGGTTTTGACGAGTCTTCTGCCTTTTCTTAATGGAGTGAAAACCAGTTCACGGTAAGCCACAAGATGGGAACAACTGCTGATATTCCAGAAATAAGTAAATATACAAAACGTGCTCAAAGTCAAATGATAAGGCTTCATTCAGGCAGTTCCCAGTAAAGTCCTTCACTTCACAGCCAATATAGACTTTTACGCTATAAAGTCCTCTAGGTATCATCATGTATGGTTAGCCGCTAGACCCCCAATACTTAGTAAAGTCCGAATTCCATGATAAGTATGTAGCAAAAAAGAAAAAGTGACAAATCACTAAATATCATTCCGTCAGCTACTTCCCTCATATATACTGCGAACTTCACTGTAACTGTAGCGTGATCAATTTCACCTCTCACATTGTTTATGTTTCCATCAAGTTTTAGTTTCTGTCAATCATTTGTCTCGCTTTTACTTTGTATCAGACATTTCATTATTACAACTAATACTCTGCGCCAGCAGATCACCTGCTTTTGCTTACAACGGGACTACATCATGGGCGACAATATATTTCATCTTTTTCAATGTCCTAACACCACCAAACCCCAGGTGAGCTTTCCAGCTCGTAGGAATCAATAATTAAGCAGGAGTTTATAATATTTTCCTCCGAACTGATGTAGCACAATGGTTAGAAAGGATCAGTAGGTCTCTACTTCAAAAATATATCCTAAATAATGTCAGATATCCATGAACTCATAGGTGAAAATGAAGGGATACCTAGAACTGCTGAATGAGCAAATAGTGATGAAAACAGAAACAATAGCATCAAGAGGACCACTATAGTAGAAAATACATGGGACAAAATATGAGTTTAGCATATATACATCGAGTAACCTATAAAAGTCAAAAGGAAATGTAAAATATACAGGCAGTACATTCTCCTAATCTAAATTACATCAAGAACATCTTAATGGTTGGGTTGACAATGCTTAATACAGTGGAAACTATACATATTGTCGAAGAGAAATATCAAAGTCAGGAGACTTACCCGTTTCTTGGATAATGTATCTACAGGTGACATAATTTCTGGCTGCACGTAGTTCCTTCCCCTATAAAATATTATGGTATCATCTCCAATTATTTGAACTGGAATTCCACCACTCAATCTGGCAATTTCCTGGGCATACTCATGAACTTGGCCCGGCTTGCAGGGCTTGCAGATGACCTTAACAGTTTCATGTTTCTTCCAGTGCATGTGCATATTGAGGATGACACCTCCAAATACTCCTCTTCTGCCAAGAGGCACGTAATTAGACTTTTTTTGGCCCATCTTTTTGAGAAAAAACCGTTCCTCACCAGTTAGATTATCTGGTTTGACCACAGGACCCTGGACTTTAGGAACTTCATACTGCTTGAGCTTCTCGATCAGCAAACTTTCCTTAATTCGAGCCTGCAATTCAAAGAGAGAAAAAATATCAACTTCTAAGATTACGAAATCCAGATTAGCTTAAAACAAGGACTAAAAAATAATTGCAACTATGTGGAATCTAAACAACTTCCAGAGTTGAGCTGGACGCACTATTCATGCCTGAAACAAAACATCGATGAGGAGACACGTGTGCATTATGACTCAAATCTAAGCACAATAAATGCCAAGCCATCATGCTAAACAAAGTATTAGAGGCCGTGATGAGTGCACAGATTGACCTGATGAGGAAGTGAAAGGTTTACTAAAAATAATGCTTTCACAATAAACTTAGGTAGGTCAGAAGAGCTTGTTGTGGGAAACTTGTGCTTGGCAAACCCATCATACTGAAAAGTAATACTCGAGAATGTTACCCATCATACTTTCAGATAGGGCAATGCCAGTTAAAAGCAGGTGAAATGTGCCCATTGTACAACAAGAAAATCATGGGAAACACAGTCAGATTATTCCTCTATGCAAGAGCTTATGTGGAATTTCCACTTTGTGTGGGAGATATAGTGGGAGGAAAATGAGGGGGTGGGTGGAGAAAATATTACATTTTCCTTTCAATCCCTTCTCGGACAAAATTCAAGTTTTTCAAATTTTCTGCACCCACCTCTGATTTTCTTCCCCTCCTTTCTATCCCAAGCAAAGCATTAAGGCGACAACAAAGAGATCTGCGGAAGAAGACTTCCTAACAAGTTTGGTGACAAAATCATACTGCATAATTGAAGAAGCAAGGGGGCTTGTAGGTGAATGCGAATTAAAATATACAATTGTAGAAACGAGGGGATTATTTATAGCAAAATAAGAAACGGAGTTGCTTTCATGTTAATGTAGATTAATCATGAGTCCAAATCAGTATATGCAGTTCCAGTTGATGAGGTACTTCCAACTGATTGACTGAGTATGAATCGGCTAACTTTGGAGATACTGCCCACAAAATATAGCCACAACAAATATAAAAGCCAGAAATAGAACCGAATCATGACAGCCCACCTTCTCGAGAACTGATTGACTGACAGTATGAATCGGCCAACTTTGGAGATACTGCCCACAAAATATAGCCACAACAAATATAAAAGCCAGAAATAGAACCGAATCATGACAGCCCACCTTCTCGAGCTTGTACTTGATCTTTTCCTCTGCATCTGCAAATTTTTGCTTCCTCTTCTTCCCAATACGCCTTGGATCCTTCTTGTTGGCTGCCTTTCGCTTCTGCTTCTCTCTCTTCTTCTGTAGCTTGAACCTCTTCTTATTCTTCCACTTCTCCTTCTTTGGAGGATCAACCTCATGTGTCTCAAACTTGGGCTTCCCTTCAGCTAAAACAAAGTTCACAGATCCGTAGCTCAAGTTTCTAAACCACCATGAAGTATTTCCCGGGTTTCCCACAAGCAAGTGCTTAGATGAAGAGAGAGTTATGCTTCCTGATAGTAAAATTGGCCTAACAAAGGGACCCAATCCAAGTCAACAACAAGAAAATCCAAAAAGAAAAAGGTCATTGAGATTGAAGTCTAACAAAAGAAAATACTTTCGACTTTAACTGTATTAGTAGTTCTTTAAGTTCAGCTCCACCTAAGCACCAATGTCGGTTCGTATGAAACCATAATTTACAGAAGAGCACCAGAAATCTAAGAAAATTCAAAAGAATCAATCAATCCAAACCGGTAGGAATCAGTCCTTTCTTATCTCTTTTTCCTGAATGAAACAAGCAAGCATCTTTGGAGACATACTGAAACACAAGAGCTGATTCAGCTGTTTGCATACTACAAACACAACTGCCCATCATTAACGATTCGACAGTCAAGAAACCCAACTTCAACAAATCATTCTACGCCGTCATCAACCAATTTCCTCCTAAAATTATCAAAGAGGTCAAACACACTACACCTACACATCCAAACACTGCCAATCAAGCCACTCAAACACCAGAATTCCATGAAGTTGCGTTGTTTACACTTGAACCACACTGAATCAATCTGAAGAACAAATGTGGGCAACGCATTCGCCTTTAATCCATCAAACCGGGGACGCGAATGAAAGAAGACATATACATTCGATAGCCACACATTTCATACCTCTGAGTTTGAGACGCCGGTTTCACGCATCAATCAAACTCACAAATGAACCATCACCCGAAGCAGCATTAACACACCGGCATTCCATTAGGCTCAATGGTGCGAAAAAGACTGATACTTTTCGCTCGCTACATAAAAGAAGAGAAAGCTTGGTTCCTCCGAGGTACCTCGCAGAGTCACCCACTTCCTTCAATTCATCGCCATCACACACACGCACACACACGAGTACCTGAAGGAGGAGGCGGATGCAGAAGATGATCTGAAAAGGGAAGAAGCTCTGAGCAAATTGCGCAGTAGCGCGCTCGCCATCACTCCATTTCACGTATCACGGCGAGAGAGAAGAGGCGGTAATAACACTTGCGCTCCAAATGTTTGATGATTTGCGTCGATTAATGTTAGCTCCGGTTGCACGTCCGACCAGATTTCCCCAAAAGAAAAGAAAAAAAAGGGGTAATGACATAACAACCTCTAAATTTTAGTCTAATTCACAATATAATTGCTGAATTTTTAATTTGTTCAATATAATTTTTGAACTTTAGCATAATATTCAATGTAGTCCCTGAACTTTTAATTTGTTCAATAGATGTTCAATGTAATCCCTAAATTATACGAAAATGTTCAGTGTTGTCTCTTAATTTTTAATTTGTTCAATGTGGTCCCTAAACTTTAACTCAATGTATAATGTGATCCTTAAATATCGTCCCTAAACTTTTGGTACATGCTCAACTTAGTTCCCGAACTATATGAAAGTATTCAATATTGTCCTTACATTAATTCAAATTCAGGGACAACAATGAACATTTCCATATAGTTCAGGAACTATGAATACCACGTTACAAATTGGGCTATAATTTGAGGATCATATTAAACAAAATAAAAGTTCATAGATCATATTATGTTTTCAATAAAAGTTTAGAGAACATTTGTGTCATTTTTCCAACCACCTAAGGCCACATGGGGCTTTCGACCAAAAATAAAATAAAAAAAGGGCAGAAAAGGCTAAAATCCAATTTGGGTTAGGTGAACCCACCCTCTTGAATTTTGTGATGACTAACTACGACATTATTTTTTTCTTTTACTTTTCTTTTACCATTTCTATTATTTGTGTTTTCTTTTTTTTTGGTAAGGTTTTTTTTTTTTTTGGTAAGGTATTATTTGTGTTTTCTTTCATGCTATAAGTCAATAATTAATTCTTCTACTTACATTTGGGTGATTCAATAGGAAAATATCGATTTCTAACACGACCATTTATAAATACACAAGTAAGAACTCACGTCCTTTTGGTAAATCATAAATTCAAAAAAAAAATTTCGAATGAAATACTGATGCGATAATTAACTTTTGGTTACTCTTTTATAAATTTTCATTTCAAGTTACAAATAATTTCTTTAATTGTATCGTTTTTCATTTGGAGATACAACAAGGCGTCCTTTCCTACAGGGTCGGGTCGGGTCCGATCCGAGGGGTTCGAATCTTGAGCGAGCAAGCCCCACGACACTTCACACGCGTCGGAACATCACCCGCTTGACCAAAACCGTTGACTTCTTCCCTCGAGCGCTCTCCAATGGATGTCCGCCACGTGTGTCTGGATGAGTCCCCATATTCGCTACGTGAACCCTCCTCTTTCCTGCCCCTCCTCTCTCTCTCGCTCGCCCGCCTCGCCTCGCCTCGCCTCGCCTCGCTCGGTGGCGCGTCGATACGGACGGTGGCCATGCCCACCACCACCACCACGGCGATCGTTCGACCGGGGATTTGAAGATCAGTATATATATATGTACTCAGTGAGTTGGAGTAGTAATTGGGTTTCATCTTGGATATCTGTGTTGAACTGATTGCGAAAATGGATTCTTTTGTGGGATTGATTGCCCGTTTCATTCGAAAAGCTTGTAAAGGTTCTATCTTTCTGGTTGGGTTTGTTGTTGTTATGGGAAGGAACTCTGTTGAGGTTCTTAGGGCATCATGGGTTTGGAGTTACCTGTCCTCAGAGACCAAAGTTGTGTTGCTCCATGAAGTGGGACATGAACGAGAAGCCGAAATCCATGAAATTTCTTGAGGTTTAGGTCTTCCTGTTGCCTTTTTAATGTGAGGGGGGGTGTATTTTAAATAAATCTCGCTGGGGAAGGGTTGTTCTATCCCCCACTCCCTTTTCGTTTTCAAGATGATGTCGATTGAGGGGCCTATGGCGATGCGGGTATGGTCAAGTTCTTTGTCTTGTGTATGTGCAAATTTGTTTAATCCCTTGTTCAGGTATCTGTGCCTGTCAACAAGGGCGTGAGTAAATGATGGAATTCTTTGTTGCATTTGTCATTGCAACTTTTGTGTCTTATGTAACTTGGGCCTGTTAGCAGATTATAAGATTGTTTCCTTGTTTTGGCAGTGGATATGGCGAGCGGTTTCAGTAGAGATGGGACGGTGAGTTCAGTTGGTGCTGAGAGTAGTAGTCGGGCGGTTGATGAGAATGAAGTGGGTGTAAGTGAGGTTGAAGGGGAGTATGAGCAGGTTGTGGAGGTAAAGATGAATGACGATCCGTTAGAGGGGGACGACATACTCGACTCCATGCCGCCAGTATCGATGACTTCAGTAGATGAGCCCTATGTGGGTCAGGAATTCGACTCTGAAGCGGCCGCACATGGGTTTTATAATGCATATGCCACCCGGGTAGGATTTGTAATTCGGGTGAGCAAACTCTCTCGGTCGAGGCGTGACGGATCGGCCATTGGTCGGGCTTTCGTCTGCAACAAAGAGGGTTACAGGATGCCAGATAAACGCGAGAAAGTCGTCAGGCAAAGGGCTGAGACAAGAGTTGGTTGTAGGGCCATGATACTGGTGCGGAAAATGAATACAGGCAAATGGGTTGTCACGAAGTATGTGAAGGAACATACTCATACCTTGTCGCCTGGCAAAGGCCGGAGGGACTGCATCTATGATCAATATCCAGTAAGTTCTTGCTCCTTTTGTATTTTAAGTTGCAAATGTTTGCTCAAAGCTATTGCCATGGACCTTAGAAAAAGAGACATGAGAAAGCTAATTAATAATTATTCGCTTATTTTATAGTCCTCTCAAAGTTGCATGGTGATATCTCCTTTTCTTATGTATTCCACACAAACACGCACACGATGACTGTATGGAACATCGGGGTGCTAATCTGGATAATAAGTCAGCATTTGTACTGTAGCTTTCTAGGTTTGGAGAACAAAATCCTCTCCAATGAGAGTCCCTACTTTTCAAGTTTAGAAACGTGTCTGGCATACTTTATTTACACGCCCTTCACTGACTAGCACTTTCTTTCTACTGATTGGTTCTATCCTTCTGAAAGTGCCTTGTGGCGTATTTGTTGCTATTTTCAGTGTTATAGCTACACTGAACGATAGTCCAATAGCCTGTCTACTGTCAGCTAGGATCTGAAGTTCCTGCCTTTAGTTGACATGGCACAAGTCTTTGCTGTCGTCCAACATAATGTCCTCGACATATCTGTTGCCCAAAAAGAGAGAATATCATTAGCCAATACTGACATATCGGTACATTAAGCTATCCAAAAAGAAATTATCCATCAATAGGACATATTAGCATCGATCTTGGCAGTGTAACCGTTCTTGTCATAGAAAAGCCCAAGTGTCACTCACTTATCCGACTTTTTCTGAAAGTTTGTTGATATTTTATCTTCCTTTTAGTATTCGAACTACTTTGCTTTGTATCTCCTCTCCTCTCTGTAGGGAAACCAGCCACTTTGATCTGACTTTGCTAATCTTGATTCCACACGACAGTGCTATCTATTTGATGACGAAAATAATGTTTTAAACTCTGTGATTGTCCCAAATAATCATGGAAACTCTGGAATTTCCATTTCTGAACATTTGTTGCATCCTTTTAATTCTAGTTTAGCAGCCAGAACATCATTCTATTGCTAATAGGAATTGTAGCTGTGATGATGGATAAGTCCTACATGCCATCTGATGATATATCATTTACAGAGTTAAGGCATAACCAGACAAATTAATCACTTGTATCATGATTCAGAGAAGCACTGCATTTCTGATAGGCCAGGGGCCGACAATTTTGCCTGCATTTAATATTGTAATTTGTCCATCTCAGACTTCTCATTCTTGAGAAGCTATTGGGAAGTTTGTTGAGCCTGTGTAACCACTTGACTGGGAGCTTTACACGGGAGGAAGGCGGGCATTTGCTAAAACTAACAAAAGTTTGTGGCATTAGGGTTGCATAAGGTGAGCCTATGTGAGTTCAGATTGAAATCTCTTGATATGTATGACTATAGAGGTTGAGAAAATTCTCATGGTCTGCCTTAGGCTACAAACTGATGCTTTTGACAAAGTAATTATGTCATGGAATTGTTTTGGTAAAAGTGGTTGTCTCTAAGACTTTTCTTTTGAAGGTGTTGATTTCATAAAAGCATCATAGTAGTTGAGATGCCTTGTCACTTGCGCTGCAGGCTTAGTTCTCTGTTTTTGGATTATATTGTGCACGAGTATACTTTTTCCTTGAAAATTATGGCTGATCTTGTGTGTACCTGAGATGTCGATGCTAGAGATTATCTATTTCTGTATACTACATGGGAAAGCTCTTGTCAAGCACTGTCACGGTTTTTCTACAAAAATTCTGTAGTTCACGGGTCTTATACAATGTGCATATTCCATTCTTCTCCTACAGAATGAACATGACAAGATTCGGGAGTTGTCGCAGCAGTTGGCAATAGAGAAAAAGCGAGCTGCAACGTATAAAAGGCATCTCGAACTAATCTTCGAGCACATTGAGAATCACAATGAGAGTCTGGCAAGAAAGATCCAGCACATAGTAGACAACGTGAAGGAAATCGAAAGCAGAGAGCAGCAAAGTTAGAGATAGATTGCGGCATCTCTTCCTTTTCTTTCCCCCTTCTTTTCTTTTCTGTTGTCTGGTTCGAATTGTAAAATGACGGCCACTGCATGGCAAAAGATGATGTGATGAAATCCTTGTCGATATGTCTAGTTTTGAATAGATTACAGCAATCAATTCTTTCCCCAACTTCTTGTCATGGTTGATCATGGTCCATAGCATTCATTCATGTATTAATTGATTGTGCTATTCCAGTTGAGGTATTCCTGATTAACAGGATTCTGGTTTTTTTTTTGCTGTTTAAGAACGTCGTAATGCCGGATTAGTCACTTGTGAAACTTAACGGTTATAATTTCCAGCATCTGTTCAATCTGATTAAATGAAACCCTGTTGAATTTGAGGTCGCGCCGCTAAGTTCAGTTCTGCTCAAACGCGATCGGAATAGATACATAATTTGGTTGATATAATTGCTCTTTGACATAGGAGGGACATGATATCGAAGACAACACATCTAATTCTATCAAATGAAGAAAGGGGAAGAAACAAAGGCTGGAACAAAGAAGTAGATGTGCTTTGTTATGGTCTTTTGAATGAATAGAATAATTAACCATTTGATGATCATAGGATAGAGCATAATATTTAATAGATTTTCTGTAGCGTAATTCGCTCTATGAAATAAATATTACTCGTTATAATTGACAAGTGATAATTTCGAAATAAAATAGCATACTCAAAAGGACTTTTTGCCGGTTTTTATATGATTATTAAAGCCTCATTTTCACCCATACGGCTAGTCTATCGAATCTTACTTTTAAAAGTATAAATTTTAAAGACCGTGCAATTTATCAACAAAAAATTCAGTTATGAGTTCTAATATTTTTTTAAATATAGTTATCGATTTGGTTATGAATTGTGATATTTCTAAACTACAATTGTGAATAAATTTATGGTATTATAGCTTACTCGCAATAATGTGAAGTGAAAATAAGGGTGCCTTTGTTTCGCGAAGAATGAGCGAATTGAAAAATATTTTCCAAAAAATGATCACTTATATCATTTAGAAAAATAAATAAATAGAAAATTTTTCGTCACCTACGAAAATAGTTAGACATATATTATTATTGATGATGAAAATTTTTTCTTTAACTAATTTTTCTAAACGATATAAGTAATTATTTTTCAAGAAATATTTTCTAAATCACTTATTTTTCGCGAAACGAACCCACAAAAAAAAAAGGGAAAAATTTTCCAAATTGGGAGACTAGTAAGGGTTTTTGGCAACTCCTCCTTCCGGAGGGGAAAGAAAGGGTGGTTTTTGCTTGAATTCGGACCGCACGCCTAAACTCGAAGAGATACACCGAACTCTCGACCGCCGCTTTCTCTCCAGCGAAGGTTCTCTCTCTCTCTCTCTCTGTCTCTCCCGTCCACGGTAATTCGTTTTTAGTTGAATGAAAACCTGCTGACAAGAGCGTTATTCGATCTTTTGAGGCCATTTTGCCTCGGTTTTTGAAGGGTTGAGCTGAGAACTGTGGGGTCAAAATTACCAAACAATCTTTCGATATAGGACTAACGTAATGTATACATGGTCTGCCTCTGCTTTAGAATCGTGGGTAGCTGTTGGTTTTTGAATTTGTTTGTCAGAGAGATTAGTTTACTCATGTATCCATCTTGAACTGTCGTAGTTTCTGCTACAGACGAGGAAAAGATTCGATTTTTTTTCAGCTGGAAATAAAGAGTTGATTATGTGCAAGTGTTCTGCAACTTGAGTTTTGCCGTGCGAAATCTAGGCAAACCGAACAACCTCCGTATAGTCTGTAGTTCCTCCAATTATCTGGGATGCTCATGGTATAGGAGAAAATAGAGGAAATAACAGGGTCAAATGGCTTTTTCCCCTGGGTGTTTCGAGAAATTGCTCGGAAAAGCTCTATCTTTTTACTGATGGTTGAAAAGTCTGTGATTTAAACCTGTGTGCAGTCCCGGACTTGTCACTAGAACCAAGATACAGTTATAGCACTTCTTGGTATTCTCATTTTGACATCTATCAAACTAAAGTAAATCGTGCAATGGAGATGAATGGATATTTTTTAGTGTACTTGCAGTTTTCTTTTTGTTCTTTCTTTATCATTTTAAACTCCTAATTCATCATAATTGTGTTCTGTGGCCATGTTGGTTTCCCTGTTTCTGGTTTATGTGTCTTTTGTGTTACATAAATTGCCGTGTAGCTCTGTTTGTTTTCTCCTCCTATTTGGCTGGATCAAAATGCAGTCTTCTGCTCGGTTGATACAGCCACAGTGTTGCATTGTTCAATCTTTTTTAACTTGCTGACTGGTAGCTCTTCAATTTAGTGTTGCTTTACTTCATGCATCTTATCAAATTAGGTGCTTTGATTTTGTCTGTACATCTTTCCATGGAGTATTAACCATGCCCCGGAGTTTCACTTGTAGAGTGAATAGTAATGCTTTTGTTTTCTGGTTTTTCATTTTTAGTTCTTCCTATGGGATTCAACCATTCCCTACATGTTACGTCTGTCTTCCAACAATTTGGTCCTCACAGTGGGTGTCTACTGTTCATAGCTATCACTTTAGTAAAAGTTAATTTTGTTGCAACATACGGACTATATGCTGGGCTATTAAAAGCCAGTACTTCATTCTCTCTTTCTAGGTTCTTGTATGTGTGGGTGGCTGCTATTGTTGGTGCCTTTTTCTTTGCATCAGCATAAATACACGCTGACTTACTTTGGTTAGCTGCACGCTTGAAGTATCCTTCTGCCTCTGCACTCCCACCCTGTTCTTTGCTTAACTTTTTCTTCCTATTTATATCAGTTTGTCAATTAAGAGGATTTGAAACTGAGCGAAGAATAGACCTGCAAACATGAAGAAAATGATAGCCCTTGGTTTCGAGGGGTCAGCCAACAAGATTGGCATTGGGGTGGTCACTCTTGATGGTGATATTTTGTCTAATCCACGTCATACCTACATCACACCTCCTGGACAAGGCTTTCTTCCACGAGAAACCGCTCAGCACCATTTCCAGCATATACTTCCTTTGGTCAAAGAAGCTCTAAAAACTGCACAAGTGACTCCTGATGACATTGACTGTCTATGTTACACAAAGGGTCCAGGCATGGGAGCCCCTCTGCAAGTTTCTGCTATTGTCATTAGGATGCTTTCACAGCTGTGGAAGAAACCGATTGTCGCTGTTAATCATTGTGTGGCACATATTGAAATGGGCAGGATTGTGACTGGTGCTAATGATCCCGTTGTGTTGTATGTAAGTGGTGGAAATACACAGGTAATTGCCTACAGTGAGGGAAGGTATCGTATTTTTGGAGAGACTATTGATATTGCTGTTGGAAACTGCTTGGATAGATTTGCTAGAGTCTTGACACTGTCCAACGATCCTAGCCCTGGATACAACATTGAGCAGGTATGTCACCAGGAGTGCACTCGAAGGTCTCTAGTTTGTGCATTCTACTTTAAGTTGGACTTTTGGCGTTTTGCTGTGCTTAAGTTATTTCGTTAATTTTAGGATTTAGTCAATTATTGTGTCAGGTATTCGGTATTTTGGTGTTCACTATGCATATGATAATCTGTTAGAAATGCTATATTTACACTAATAATAGACTTAGTCCTTGCACCTCATGCTAGTATTATATAGCTATAGAATTTATGGCCTGGAATGCTGTGTGTCCCATACCAGTATTTTGCAGAGAGAATTTTTTGCTAGAGTGTGGGCTTTAGAAAAGATAGAACCAGAAATGAGTGTGAGAAGGTATTGATGTTATGATGGGAATGTAGGTTAAAAATGGTGCGAAATATCTTACAAAATGTGTATGGAAGCTTTGACAAAGATCTCAAGTATTTGGATCTCATTTGAAGACTTGATGTTGAATGGAATGGGATAGTATACACTGATCCTCATAGAGGGCTGCAACTGGTAGAGAAAGGGTGTTGCCATTATATCATTTTGGTGGGTATTATTTGTGTACTAGGGTTCGTAATTTTCTATGCATCATTTCCATTATTGAGTTAGGACCCCGCTCTATTCGCCCTATATTGTGGATACGTTGATTATCTCGATTTGCCTTCTCTATAATGGGCGTAGTTTACTGTTGTTATTCTTGTGCCGTTGCTTTCTTACCGAACCCTTTCATATCATGAGAATGGAAGTACTTTCTTCCTCCTATTGACTGATATCCGTCTAATCTCTACCAGCTTGCCAAGAAGGGAGAAAAATTCATTGATCTTCCTTATGTTGTCAAAGGGATGGATGTATCTTTCAGCGGAATCTTAAGCTTTATCGAAGCTACTGCTGAAGAAAAGCTTAAAAATAACGAGTGCACCCCTGCCGATTTGTGCTACTCTCTACAGGTGAATTGGACTTGCATCCATCTTTAAAAATTAGCAGTTTTTACTAGCTTAACTTCAGCTCTGGAGTGTCAGACCTTTATACCTTTGTTCCGACAAAATATTTGAGTGGCGGTTAAAGTTTTGGTTGATGCTTTATGCTGCAGGAAACACTATATGCAATGCTCGTGGAAATCACAGAACGGGCAATGGCACATTGCGACATAAAAGACGTTTTGATTGTTGGCGGCGTGGGTTGCAACAAGCGGTTGCAAGAGATGATGAGAGTTATGTGCTCAGAGCGAGGTGGCAAATTGTATGCGACCGACGATAGGTACTGCATCGACAACGGTGCCATGATTGCATACACCGGACTCCTCGCTTATGCTCACGGGACATCGACGCCATTAGAGGAGTCGACTTTCACCCAAAGGTTCCGTACGGACGAGGTGCACGCGATCTGGAGGGAGAAAGAGGAGTCGAAGAAAGCGAATGGTACTGAAGAGTAGATGAAATTCCTGGATTAGTTTTACACAGCCGTATTTAGCAGAAGAAGACTAAAACTAGGATTCCTATTCAATGCAACAGCCTTAATTACAGAAAGAAATGCTGTGCATTTATGCAGGATGTTTACTTCAGCTTGTTGCACTTGCTTGATAAACAATTATTCATCTCGACTGGTGTTTACTCCAAATTGTAGTCACTTCTTTTTCCCCTTGGAACATATCGAACTATAACGTGCTTCTTGACTATTAATGACATTGTCATCGAGTCTTGGAGGAGTCAAAATAACTATCTGCCATTTGGGAGGTAATAGCTCCACAAACACTACCTATGCAACTAATGAAATTTGATAATCGCAATATGGCGTTACACTAGAACATTGAAACAAGTGTTATTAATCAGTTTACCGTAGCAATTATCGAAGAATCTAAAGTAACACCGAAGCCCCGTGTGACCAAAACCTTCGGTAGCCCACCTTGAAAATACGGCATAAGAAGTGCCTAAAGTTTTATACGGCACTCAGTTAAACTATCATTAAAGTGCCTCCGGCACCAAATTTCGGCCAAAAATATTAAGTGACTTTTACAATAAAATGTATAATATGAAATGACATTCTTATTTTAAGAATGAGTCCAACGTGGATTATGACGTGGTTGGACTCTCCATAAACGACGCGAGCCAATTTTAAATATTATTCGTTATTCTCGTTTCAGTCAAGCCATGAATCCGAGTTCGAGGATGTCGTGATAGATGAAGATGGTGGATGAGTTGCAGCTTCAATGGTCAGAAATGGTGATGTTCAGAGACTCTATCGCCTCCCCTTTTCTGAGAAAAAACCGTGCTCTCCCTCCAGTCGGTGAACGTCGGAACCTTGGCCAAATGAAAAGAGTTCTTTCTTCCACCGCAATTCAGATTTTTCTCCATGGAGTTCAATTAATTTTAAATATGACTTCCATTCTTTCCTGATTTGTCTTCTATTTTCTGTTTCGTTTTGTTCTGTTTTTTTTCCGCTCTCTTGCTGTCTGCCGAATTCCATTTTGCAAGGAAGCTCCGGTTGAACCGCCATCGCCATGGCTGCAGATGTGGAAAAGGACTAGCAGCATGTTTATGGAGAGAGACAAACTGATTCCTTTCTCATACTAAAGAATTCCAGAGGAAAAAGTGTTTAGAGGGGGAAGCTTTTTAAGAATGCTTGTATTGCTCAAATATTTTGGATAAATCCAAATGAGGGGAGGGCATGAGCCCCTCTTATTATAACCTTAGAATTACAATCCGATCTGACGCTAGAAATCAATGGGAAGCCTTTAGAATATAATCCTATCTTTTGTAATATAGTTTTTAAGAATTAATAAGTTACAATAATAAAATTATCACCTTCTAACGTAACATGATGTAATGCTCTTACTTTTCATCCATTGATTTCATGCTTCCGCAACATGCCTCGTGCTGGCAATCAGATAAACTACCTCTTTCAATGTTTCATACTGTAACATCATCCCTCATTTTTGTAGGGAGATTTGAGTTTCCTATTGATGAAATTCAGGTGGTGATCTTGTTATAAGATAGGTTCAAGGAAATTATCGGATTATGAAGATAATAATATTGGAGATTTATTCATTAAAAAATTGTGGGGTTTTGATATTGTATTATTAAAATAATGGTAGGTACACACGGCAGTTGGAAAAGCTTGATATTTCTAGAGCCCATAAAATATAGTTTGATCCACTCAAAATGGTCCGAATGGGTAATAAGACTTTCAGTTTATCCATTTTCGTGCACTTTTACGGTAAAAATCAGTAGAATATATGAAGAATATTGTGAAAAAATATTAGCACTTAGAGGACATGTAAGCAGAAAATAAGGCCAAAAACAGACCTGGCACGTCAAAATACCTTAGGAACTGGTCGAAAAACCCCAACAACCATTCTGAAAACAGTCGAACCGGTTTTGGAATTTTTGTGATACAAAAAACAATTAAGGCTGTACCGATGTCGGTTTTTGGTGATTTTAGCCCTAACAAAATCCTTATGAAAATGTCAATTTGAAACAATATATTGATTGGCGATTCCTCCGTTTACAAGTATGCAGTCTGATTGATAGCCCAACTAAAATAAATTCCATCATATGCAATAATTTAACATCCACATTTTCAATATAGATCCATATAGAAGTATTCAATAACTAATCTTAGAAAAAAGGGGATCTTTTTTAAATAATTTAACTACAGCTTCAACTCATTATATTTTTCCCCTCGGAACACATCCAACTACAATGCCCCTTGACCATTGATCACATGGTCATCAAGTCTAGAAGAGTCAAAATGACCCGGCTCCCGTCCGCTCCAATCGCCGCATTTCCATGATCAAAAGCACAACATGACTGCTCCAACACTAGATATAGCGTGTAGTATAACCACTGCCGATGGTCGCGCAATCTTCCAATGATCAATATACTCGTACTTCCAGGCTAATCGATCATCTCTTGCTAATTGCTTGGCAATCATTAACAATCAACCCTCTTGTCGAAGCCCTTGGATTGCTCATGTAACAACATATATGCACAACTCGTGCCGCTCTCCTGCTGCCATCTTCTGGATTCATCTGCACTTATTGAAAAGAGGAAAAGAGAGGAGATGAGAAGACATCGATTTTGTTTTCCTAACAGCAGCGCCATCACACATCCTGAAAAAACTAAAAGGATATAAAGACCAATGCAACTGAGGAGACGGCAAAAAGCAAGAACAGAGAGTGCACGAGGAAATGGAGAACCTGGAACAATGTATGAGAATATACCTATACGCCGAGGCTAACTTCTCCTCATAAGGCCCGGGTCCACAGGTTCGTATTTTCTAATATTGTTCACCACGGACTGAACTTTCTTCGAGAGCTGATCGTTGTGCTCCTCAACGATTTTCACAAATGCAGTTAGCTGCTCTTGATATGCTGCACACAACCTTTTCTTGTTTCGCAGCTCGGCCGTTAATTCCTGGATTTTCTTGTCCTTTTCGTCCTACATTAACAAAAGAAAATACAGAGGACGATAGTTTGATTAATTATACACAAGCCACAGACACTGCATACCTCAAATTTAAGCTACAATCATTCAGATGAGTCGCAGCCATTTTAAACAAGCACACCAACCACCACCACCGCCAGTTCAAAAGTCAGTTGAATTGATATGATTTAGACACAGGGACTTGGGGCGGAAAAGTAACTGAACAGCTCATCTTTACATAAAAAATTCAAGTCACAGAAACTTGATTGGCTATTGGTATTTTTGCTCACTTATAAGTTCCTCCTCTGGTCTATTCACCGATTGCTTGTCTCTGTGGACCCAAAAGAAAATTCACTTTACTAAAAAGCAGTATCCACCTTTCCATCAGAGGGGTTGCTATTAAATTCTATGAAGCACAAAGCATTGCCCCTAAGAATTACGACATATTCAATTCAAGGATAAAATACAAAATAATCATATCCCTGTTTTTCACAATCAGTAATTGCCTAAGAAAGCAATAGAACATACTAAAATGCTTAATTCTTCAAAACATGCTCCTGAAAACTTTCTTGGCAAGATTCAATTATTCTTCAGTTGCGCTGCCCTGCTGAGAGCCAGCATCACTCAGATAAGGAGTCAGAGATAAGAAAGACAAGAAAGATAGTGAAGACAGCATGATTCGATCAAATTGAACAGAGGGTATGTCAATGTAACTGAATAATTGTCCAATTTTGCGTGACATAAAAGCCAGTCCATTCCATTGTCAAGGAAAGGAATATGAGAAAGAAACAGAGGACGAGACGAACATCATAATTGAAGGCCATATCATCCCCATGAGAGTTCTAAGAAATCTTTTGCTATTCACCACAGAACGAAGTTAGAAAAGGTTGCGCAAATTTGAGCAATACAAAGAAGCAATTAATATAACTGATTGTCCTGCCTCATCATGTCCATTGCAGGGACAAATCTAGAGTTAGGCTTGGCAGGCCAAGTTCTTGACAAAATTTTAAGTATGGTTTGGACTAGCTACAGCTTAGCTTCTGACCTTTACTGCAACTTTATGTGAGTAATAATAATATCGAATGCCTCGGATCTTTAGAAAGAGACATAAATACTAGTATCTGAAGTTACATACAACCTATCTATTATGTCAAACATTACAAAACTGCGAGTTGGGAGGTAAAAGCCCCCCACAAACACTCCCTAATACAAATAATGAAATTTGATATTCACAATATGGTTTTACACTAGAACACAAAAATAAATATTATTGATCAGTTTACCATAACACTATACTAGCAGTTACTCAAAGAATCTAAAAGTAACACCCAAAAGACATATAGAGCCATATCTTTTGATGCAGCTGGCTCTAACCGTAAGTGGAGATACCAAAAGCACGATTATAAATCTTTTGCCTTAACTGTACTATCTGATGGCCATGCATTAGACAACAGGAAGCTGTAGAGAGGCAAAAGTCATGTGTTTGCTTCTCAATTATAAGACCACGCTTTTAACTTACAAAGCCCACTTTTAAGTTGCACTGGGAAAGCTCTTGAAAGATGCTTTCCTCATACCAACTTTTAACGATTATATACAATATCTTATAGTAAGAGGAATTAATGAAATATGCAAGTCCATCCTTATTCTTCCAATAAGAAATAGAGAGATTGAGAACACTTGGAGAATCAAGGTATCATGCAACAGATCAGTCGTGAAGTAAGTAGGATAGGGGAAACTGACCATTGTTTGACGAGCTTCGCGTGGGGAGATGACGAGCGGATGGTTATGTTCCTTTACGAATTTTGTGATTACCCATTTTCCAGATCTATTGACCTTTACATGAATCATAGCCTTGCAACCTTCCCTAGTGCTCGCTCTTGGCTTCCTAACTGGTCCAAATTTACCTCTAATACTAACACAGTAACCCTCCTTATTGCATCCAAGCCGACGAGCTAGAATCTTGCCATCTCTTTCAGAACGGCGGCAAGACATCACACGCATCACGAATCCCACTCTTCGAGCATACTCGTCGTAAAAGATCTTGGCGGCGTCTTCGGAGTCAAATTCCATACCCTCACATGGTTCCACTATAGGATCTCCTTCGCAATCTACCAATTCCACTCCGCCAGAATTCTCAGTTGCTCCAGCTTCATCTTCTAGATCCACTGTCATGAAATATTTTTTAGATTTTCCATAAGCAATAAGTTTAACACCTCAAAATCGCACAAACCTACTCATAAAGGATAGATCATAAGTTCAGAACAAGAAACCTAATAAGCAAAAAAAAGTGATATTCATGTCGGTCCTGATGATATCCAATGCTGAGGTCTGAGAAACCACACTAGCGGTAGTGAAGAAACGAATGCATTTCAAAAATCGCCAAATGCGACATGATGAGAAACCAAGGATTACAGCCACATTGAATGTCCTAAGGCCTGCAAGAACAACAGGACCTCCTATATAATGTACAGGGAATATGGAAATTACCAGAGAGAACATGACATCCCATAAAATACCATACTTTTTTTGCTTACATAGAAAACTAGACTTTAAATTATCACGGAACAGTGTGAAAAGGAATTATAAGCCAACCCCAATTAGATAGAACGAGACTCAGTTGAGTTGATTTTGAATATGCAAAAACAGTCCAAAAGATCATCCAAACCAAAACACTAGACTTTAAATGATCAAATCTTTGCCCCGGGACTGCGCATACGGGGATCACCCAACAGAGAAAGAAACCGACAACATCTTCATCTCCGAAACTTCAGCTACCACATAGCTCACATTGATCTCTTTCTCTATAGCTTCTAACACAGAGCTTCTATGTCTGCATGAGAAAACTTCAACTAGCATAAACCCATTTCCTCCTAATTGCTACACGACATTCAAGCACAACAAGAAAGAGCCAAGCAAACACATTTCACGTTTACTCCGCAACCGAATCAAAGCGACAAAAAGCGGCATCAAACGCATCAAATTCAACAACCCACATGACCCCCGAACACGACAAACAGATTGAAAGAAAAAAAAAAAGCTCGGATCTTTAAGCTGAAATCCGATGATTAGGTGCTGGAGCGAAGGTCCGATTTCGACCGATACGAATGATTTGGCAAAGAAAATGGCAGATTAATCGATGGGTCGGAAACGAACACGACCGAATGACAATCGAAGGGAATCGCTTACTTGGGTTCGAATTTGGCTGCGGTTTGATTGATCTCTTCGTGTGACTTTGGGCGGTACGATGAGTAGAACACCAGTCTCGGAAACGTGGAGGAGAGAGAGAGAGAGAGAGACAGAGCTGCGAGCTCTTCCACCATAAGCAGCAGTTGCTGCTTAACGCGCGGCACTTCTTGGGCCGGGCCAGTCGCCCGTCACCTGGTGGGCCATGTCGGCCCACGTTCCATGCCCGGGCCTGGTTTTCCTTTTCCATTTTCTTTTTTGTTTAGTTTAAAAATTCCTATATTTTTCTCCTGATCTCTCTGTTTTAATTCAATTTCTCAGAAATTCTTTGTCTATTTCATTTACTCTTGTAATTTATGGCAATGTGGCGGTGGATTCATGTTAGAGTTGTCTCATTGAAATGTACAAATTAATGAAATGAAAAGGCTCGTAATCACTTAAGTTTACGCATCTGCCACGCCACTCTAATAACATCAGGAGAAATTGTCTTTTCTCCTCTTTTAATTTTTGCATTTACTGTACTTCTAATTATCGAGACTTTACATTGAAATACCCAAGGCCGAGCTTAAATATAATTATTCTCCATCTGACAATCAATGTGATGAGAATCTTTAAACGGGATTAATCTAATTAAGGCCATAATCATCGAAGGTTAAACAACAAAGCACATCATTGTGTGACTATTTTTTGATACTTTTCATTTCCTTAATAGAACCACGATGTGTGAACAATCCTCCAGTCCAGATGCCTTAATAGGAGCACATCGTTTGTGCATGCTTGTGTTATTCTCTCTCTCTCCGAATTATTTTTTCTACTTGGTTTTTCCCCTCTAGACTCCAATTATTCACGCCACCTTGGGGGATGCTAAAGCCCTAGTTTAGTTATAAGACGCCATTCTCACAAGCCATGTTACGAATAAACAAGGTCCGTGTAAAAAAAGAAGGTCGACTATAAAATTATAGCGAAAGAATTGAGAAAATGTAGTAGATAAACGGATTATATGTACGGATCGTATAAAAAACGGGACCTTAATTAGACTTGTAGCGCTGTCGAAATTGAGGCGTACGTGCTTCCTGAAAGTCAGTTTTTGGAGAGTTGTGACTTTTCAAGCGATACTTATAATGAATTAGAAGAGGGCCAAAACACTTTTCGAAAAATATATTATTGAAAAATTATCGGACTCCTCCAATAAGGCATCTAGCACTTAGGTCGCCGGGGCTTGCCAACAAAAGCAGGCACAATTAGTGAAATATGGTTACTCCATCGATCGCACACATCATCAATATATTCAAGACTCTTAAATTCGCCGGACCATGTCAAGCGTTGCGAGAAGAAAAGGTGGAAGTCCCATTTTTTCTTATAGCATGACATGGGAAATTCCAACATCTCGTGAAAAAGACACTGATTTGCCATTTATATCACCTTCTTCGCAACACTTTATTAAATTACGGACACTTGAAAAAATATACTTGTATAAATGATGTTGAAGGAACAAATCTCGTTCTTCATCAACATTAATCAATTGCGCACAGTTCGAAATATAGCGAAATTCGCTTGTCCTTTCGAATGAGAATTAAGTTGATGATTCATGGGTTTTGCAAGAAATTTTGAAAGCTGGGGGTTTAGGAAGAACCCTAAAAAAAACGGAGAAATCTGAGACACCCAACAAAGGGTCAAACCCATGCATGTTAATAATGAGGAACAACCACCCCCAAGAATCTCTCTGCAACGATGCACAGTCCCTGCATGACCAGTCAAAGCGACTTTGCATGCCACCACATGATTATATTGTTCTTCTGCAGTCCGTAACATTTGTACTGGTCTCCACCTTAAAGCAACACCATCCCAGGACTACCCTCTTATACAACCCAATGGGACAGGAGAAGAAGAAGCAGCAGAGCGTAGGAGGAAAGAAGCTATGGAAGGAAACAGTTTCAAGTGGCTCGGTCGTGCCACGGGAGTGGGCTCCAAGCGGTGGAGATCATCCCACGAGGCCAATCTCCGGCTCCTCTGGCTGACCTTCGCCGCTGGGTGCCCATCCCGCGGGACGATCAGGGAATGGCCACTCAGAATTCACCCTAAAGTCACGAGATGGCAAGGTGGTTGGGCTCTGTTTAGATGGTTTCTAGAAACTAGTGATGATTAGAATTATGTTTAGATTATACACAGACGGGGATTTCCTTTTTCTTTGACGTCTGTACTTTTTACCGAAGCATGTTCTGTACACTTTGTTCCACTCTCCGCCTTAAAGCAACACTTGAATTTGTTCTTGATCCTCATCTGGATTGCGATCCGTTTCGCTGAAGTAGAGCATAGCTAGCCAGATTTTCAGGTTCCTGCGATCTATTCACATTGCGAACTTCGCTCTGTCATGTCAATGGTGCAATAGATGCAGAAGATGCTTTCTCATGATAACACGGAGCTTGCGTCTATTCAAATGAACAAAGGTAGGATAGTTTAGGACGATCTAAATGAGGTTTCTCGGCGAAATTCTGTCGAATCTTTGGCAGTCGTCTAGGAAGATTGGTTTTCTTTTTCGGTCGTGTGAGGAAGATTGGTTTTGCTTGAATCTTTGATGTTCTTGTCCATGCTACTCTGCTGTGTTTCTTCCAGGTTTAGGTGAACTATTTGGCAGAAACATGAATAGCAGGGGGGTGTCCACTTGTACGTGAAGAAGGTGCGCTGCTTATGGATCCGACTTTTCCAGAGTGCTTGACATGTAGGAACTGCATTTCCAACACGATGTGCAGTCCAGTCTTTCCGCTCTGACGCTGAGATGAAATTTGATGTAAAGATGTTCTGTATTGGCCTTTCTAGGACTAGTGATCCGAGTGATCCGAGTGTGGACTCTGCATTTCAACTAAAAAATGCTTGCCCTTTATTCTGAAGTGATTGAATGTTATTCTGAAGAATGTCCACACCAGATTGGTAGTGTACTTACATCTTTCCTATGAATGCATAATCGTCGAAATTTTATCCTGTCTGCTTTCCATAGGCGGCGTCAAGATCCGACCATGCAGACACAGGTTGATACCATTAATCAGGACATGTGCAAACTCCTTTGCTGTAGAGTTTTCCATCAGAGATGGGTCGTGCAAGATTGGGTTTTTCTTCTTCTTCCCATGGTAAACTCCTTTGATGTTATCAGATGGATAAGAAGAAAATTCCAACTTCAAGGGGTTAGCCGAGTTAGTAAGGCGATCGTAAGCTTGCACTCTGAAACTCGATGGATTGCGACAATTGGCATAGGTAGGGTTCTTGGAATCGCCTTGTTCGCAAAGCTGAGTACGATCTCCAAATCATTTGTTCAAGATTGTAGCTTTTCAAGAGAAGTTTAAAATCCATATGAACATTTCTTGGACAGGATGGGTGTCTGGCGATGGTGAGGGAACAAAGATGCAGGTTTCAATTGCTAGGAGATGCATTGTATTGCTGCTATGTTGGCACAAATAGGGCTAGTGTCAAATGTCGGCTCATTTAACAAACTTACCACAAACCTTTGATGGTTCCATAAAATCCTCTTCATCAACTTCTCACATCACCTCCACTTTGTATCATTGTTCTCTTCATATTTCTGGAACACTAGAATTAAATAGACAGATATGTTAGTTCGATTAGAAATGAAAGTTATATTTAAGTTATCAAGCTTGTACAGAAATAAGAATAATGATAACTGAGCGCAATGATAACTGAGCGCACACATAATGCATGGACAAAGTCTAGTTTAACATAATCAATAAGTTGAAAATGAATTAAAAATAACAAAAATAAAATTATATTAATAATTTAAGAAGTGCAAGATCAGGAGTTTTTCCCCAAGCAAGGCACTACTCAAACTTATTTACCTCTTGACCAAAAAAAAAAAAACTTATTTACCTAAGTAGGTACTTAAAATCTTATATTCCTATCCGAGGTACATTCTAAATCTTCCTTTTGTTACAATAATCTGTATTATTAAAAAAAATAATGAAATCTCCGTGTTCCATAACCAATTATAGTCTCTAAGCCAACAGTCAATTTGGTTGAGCAGAATTTATTTATTTGGATTGAATTTTACTATTTACTTTTGATTCAATTTGATCTTGCAGCTCGCGCATTCAACTATTTTTTTTAATTTCGAAACTCTTGAAACTTTCACGGTAGTCGACGTTGACACGTAAATTCACTTATAATTATCTCATAAAGGATTCAAAGAATGTGCAATTGATTTATATAAGTTGGTATTCATGTTATGGTCAAATTAAAAAGCCAAAATTGTGGAATTCGTGATTAGAAAGAAATGGGAGTCACGTGAGTAGGAATGTAAGTCACGTGACGAGGAAGCGGTCTCCTCCAAGGTTCAACCTCAGCCACACGATCGAACCACAACCTCGTCCTCTCGACTTCCGTTAAAAAACGGAAAAACCAGAAACGCAAGCTCGCTTTTCTTCTTCTTCTCCTTCTCCTTCTCCTTCTCCTCCTCCTTCTGCGCGCCATGGCTTCAACAGCTTCACCTCCTCAGGCCTCGTTCTCTCTCTTCGCGGGGCGAAGAAGGAGCACCGCCAGCACACGTATTGCACGGGGCGCGCGCGTTCCGGGACGCCGCCGTCTGCGGGTTTTCGCGGCGCAGGGCCCCCGAGAGCGGCAGCAACCGCCGCCGGGGGTGGACACGAGGATCCACTGGGAAAACGAGGACGAAGGATGGATCGGCGGCGACAGCTCGGGGTCGAAGGAGGGTGAGAAGCAGTTGGGTGCGGAGGAGGAGAAGCAGAGGAATCTGCTAGGGGAGAAGTTCGCCGATTTGCTCAACGAGTCCTCGGATTCCCACTACCAGTGAGCATCATCAGTCTGATGATAATCGCTCCTCCTCGCTTTTCTCTTCTTCATTTCTTGTTTTTTTTGCTCTTTGTGTTTGTGGTTCTGCTTTGTTTGTCCTACGGTCATTTGATTAGCGAAAGTGAGAATTGTGGGTTTGAGCTGCACGTATTGGCTCAAGCAGAGACACTGGCCGCACGGTGATGTGGAACGAACCGAAGCGTTGCAGCGGCGTAGGTAGAATCTTCGGTTAACTCGAAATGTAGGAACTTTACATGAAATTTCACGAAGTAGTTACTGAAATTGCACTGAGCATCCAGTCCTGGGTTGGTCATTGACAGTGGAGGTCAGTTCTGTGTTGAACTTGAAAGTTGAACAGTTGATGAAATCCATAGTGAACAGAGGGGAGAGATTGGTTGTGACTTTTGGAATTGGCTAGAATGATGTCTGGCAACCCACTAGGCTGTCCAGGCTCGGGCGAGCTTGGGAGAGGTTTTTTAGGTTCGGTAAGGACCGGCTCGGCTATGCTTGTCCATCGATTAGGTCTACAGGAAGTATGCGAATACCGTGGAAATGCAGTCTCTTTTTCTCTGTCTTGTGAATCAATTGAATGAGTTGTTTCGAGAAAACAATCACTTGAATAAGTACATTTAAGCTGGTGCTGGGAATAGAATGAAGGCAATGGAAGAAATTTACTGTGTGATCCATTGGGTTTCATGAGCAGACAACACTGAATCTGAAAAAGAAGTCCTCCTTTTGGTCTGAGGGACCATGATCTCAGGGAGTTACCGAACCTGCGGCTAGTGCTCTTTATGCCTGCGCTGGTCTTTCTTATTATTCTTATCTATGGAGAAAGGAAACCCGATTAAAGATTGACTGCAATCCCAAGTTTTGGTTGTTCAATGCCATGGGGACCTTGAAGCTCTTATGTAGCAACACAGTATCAAAAAGAGTTCTCACTTGAAGAGGATTGACCGAAGTAGGCATCTTTGGCTTCTCTCGGTTCTTTTATGATGCATCGAGTAAATGATGGCGATGATTGTTGCACGAAATAAGGAAATCTATGACTATGAGAAAGCGAATTCAGGCGGGTTGTTCGGAGAAATGTGATTAAGGTCGGTTGACTATTGCAATATGAAGTGAGGAGTTGCAATTTGCATTACTGGGGACATATATCACTCATTGCAAAGTTTAGCTTCGCTTGTCACTCTAATTGCTGATAGTGAGTCCACCATATTTGTAGCTCTATTGATAGATGAGAACATGTTGAATCTGTTTTTACTTGTTCGGTCGAGGTTAAGGTTATGAGAAGACCGGATCGTAATCGATCGCTCCAACTCAGGCAATCCACTTTACCAATGCTCTCTTGTTTTTGCGCCACAGGTTCCTAGGAATTTCAGCCAGTGCTGATCTGGAAGAAATCAAAGCTGCTTACAGGAGGCTATCGAAAGAGTACCATCCGGACACGACTTCCCTTCCATTAAAAACTGCATCGGTCAAGTTCTTGAAATTGAGGGAAGTTTACGATGTGCTGAGCAACGACGAGAGCCGGAGATTCTATGACTGGACGCTCGCGCAGGAGGCCGCGAGCCGACAAGCGGAGAAAATGAGGATGAGGCTAGAGGATCCTTACGAGCAGGATTTACAGAACTACAAACCCGTGCCGGATATGGTCGACCGGCTTGGCGGGAGGAACCTGGATTTGAGTGACCAGGCCATGTCTGCTCTCACATTCGATGTGTTTATCATCATCTTTGCAATATGCAGCATCATTTATGTTGTATACTTTAAGGAACCGTATTATTAGGTGGTTCTTGAAAAGTTTTATGTACATTACAGCAACTCTCGCTATTTTGATCATTCTATAAATAGCATGACCGAACTCCTCTCAATCAAATTTTCCTTTCTTTTTCTCATCTTCCATACTCGTATCTTTTGAGCTTACCTTTTTTTAACTCTCAGCCACAACTTCGTTTGAATTCTCGAGAGATTTTGAAACAGATAAGCGCTGAGGAGGGGTCGATCGGTTGATCGGGATGAACAAATGCCGCCTTTTGAGTGCCCGAGCGATCACGAGGGACCGCCCGGAGGGTATGCGCTACCGCCCCTCGCCTCGACCGGTGAGCCTTCAATAAGGTTGGAAAGAGGGGTGGTGCGTTGAGTGAGCATTGCCGACCAAATGGTGGCAATCGGGGCTTTAAATAATAATATTAAAATATTATTTAAAATTGTTTACGTTCACATCAGCGGCCACGCCACGTAAGACGACCAATGTCCACGTCAACGATTTCCGACCAAAACTGGTCAAATGGACTCAATTAGCAAAACGTAAAAATATTTATAATTCAATTGGCAAAATTAAAAAGGTTTAGAACTAAATTGGTAAAAATGTAATAGGTTTAAGACTTTTTGGACAATTTTTTCGTTTATAGCCGTGAATTTGCAATCCGCTCTAATTGTAATGATTGATGAGAAGCCTCTAGAATACAATCCAATCTCTTGTTATATGGTTTATTAAAATTAATAATTTACAATAATTAAATTGTCATCATCCAACAAGACCCAATATAATGCTCTTACTTTCCGCTCATAGATTTCGTGCTTGGGCTAGCAATCGATAACTAACCCTTTCAATATCACAATTCCTAACGTCTTGGAATATTTTGTAATTCAAAAAGTCTAATATTCTTGCAATACACAAAATTTGACACTTAGATTTAACCATAATTTTTCATAATAGGAGAGGTAGTGGGTTTTTTTTTTGTGTCAAAATATCGATCAATTAAATTAAAAATTCGTACTTTCGAATTTTGGTGGGCCAATTTGTTTCGTTGGTGACCTTTTGAATTTCTCGAACTGGGAAACCAACTTATAAGGTCAAAAATGAGAACCTACACAAAGATCGAAGGGCAATACGGTCATTTAGCAATCCTCAGACAATATAAAAGCACTAGGGTTTCGCCCTCTTCTCCACCTCGACAGAACCTTCACCGTCTAGCTTCTGCGCCGCCGTCTCGATCTCAGGTGCGACGCTGTACCAAGATACGTGCTTACATGTTCTGTTTCTTGTTCTTGTTGCCGTATGCTTCGTGCACTGATCTCGTTAGCACTGGTTAAGCGCTGCTCTGCTGTTTTAGATCTTTGTTGTTTTTGTTTCACGGAACTTGCTTGAGCATTTTGCTTTAGAGTGTACTGCTTGAAGTGGTGGATTCAAGCCTTGATTCTTAGAGGGTCTTTGGTGGGTGTGCGGAGATTCGAAATCGTATCGTGTGTTTGCTCTCGCGCTGTGATCTTGTTTGGGTGTTTTGTGCATACCCAGATGATGACAGAGAGGCCAGAGTTGTATCAGGCACCTTTGGTATCCATGATTTTGATATCTGGATCCGTGTATAGTCTCCCTGTATCATGTGACTCGACCCAAATGACCCACCCATGACGTCCGGTTGCTTAATGTTTCGTTTCTTTTTTGCCTCTGTGAGGTTGTCTCGAGAATGCCTGTCCTCGTTATGCTTATGATGGCGAGTTTCTCTGTGTTGCAGGCTGCAGTGTGTTGATTGTTTACGATGGTGAGGGTCAGTGTTTTGAATGATGCTCTTAAGAGTATGTATAATGCCGAAAAGAGTGGAAAGAGGCAGGTCATGATCAGACCGTCATCGAAAGTGATCATCAAGTTTCTTTTGGTGATGCAGAAGCATGGTATGCTCTTATCAATCACTTTTGATACTTGATACTTGTATGGTTGGCACTTATTGTTGTACTACCTTTTGGGCCATTGCTAGGTTACATCGGAGAGTTTGAATATGTCGATGACCACAGGGCTGGCAAAATTGTGGTTGAACTCAATGGCAGGCTAAACAAGTGTGGAGTTATCAGTCCCCGTTTTGATATCGGCGTCAAGGAGATTGAAGGCTGGACCGCAAGGCTGCTTCCCTCAAGACAGGTTTGTTGCAAAAGCTTCACCTGTTGTTGTTGTTCGCGAAGCTGTCTACAATCATAAGTTACTTTACTGCGAAGCGGTCTTTCACCTGTTGTTGTTCGCCTTGATAGGTTTATTATATTTCATATGGCATTCTGAGCTTAGACTTGCAGTCGTAAAATTGTCTACCATGCTTTCCACATTCATATAGTCTTACGCTAGTGATTTTGTTGACTGAACTTTTGAGAGTAGATCTGATGCTTTTAGCTTAACATGACTAAACTTTTGCAGCCCATCGGTTTCCTTCCTTGTCTAACGTCGATTGGTTCTCTGAAATTTGCAGTTTGGTTATATTGTGTTAACAACTTCAGCTGGCATCATGGATCATGAAGAGGCTAGGAGAAAGAATGTTGGTGGAAAAGTACTTGGCTTCTTTTACTAGGCGGAGTTAGTTTTGCCAATGAATCCCTGATATTTCAGTTTGTGAGGATTTTGTTATGTATTTTTGAAATGGTTTACCTTAGGGATTTACCCTATTGGGCAAAATTTTCATTTTTTGTTTAATGGAGCTTTTGATATTTCTTTCCGCTTCTCTAGTGCTATATCTGCAGTTAAAAGAGATTCAGGCTTGCCTTTTAATTGGTGGATATTCTGATGATTTCTGATGAGATGGTGATTTGTTTGGCTTTAGCTGGAAGTGTGGATTATCAGTCGTACGTGTGAAGTGTTAGTAGCCCTGGAAATCTTCAATCCCCTCTCTTAGTTTGGAGTAGTCTTTACTGTCCGGAGCACCTATGACTTGAGGCATTTCCATGTAGTTCTACGAATTTCAGCTGATTGACAACTGTTCATTGAAGTGAGAGCAAAATCCTTGGTGGTCCTTGGACACGGGTTAAGGTTCATGTGTGTGATGATGGTTTTGGCGATTGGTTATATTTGCCTACTATTATTGGGATATCTAGATGATTTGAAGTGTTTGATGTTGGTGGTGCAATGGCTGGTCGTATGCATTGTTGAACTATATTGCCATCTTGTTTCTATTTGTGTATTTCTGTTTTGCGCGGGAACAGTTGAATATTTGGGGGTGAGATTGTTACAGGAAAAACGGCGCCTCTCGAGCATAAATTTGTTCTGATTTTGTTCCCTCCTTCCAGTTTGTCCTGAATTTTTGTTTGCCTTTGAACTTTTAGCTGGAATTACTTTTACTGGAGAGGGACTGAAAGGGGTTTTATGCTAGAATTATGGGTCAATTCTTGTTGACCAGGAATTTTCCATTAAAGGGGTTGATGAGGTTGATTTGCCTGCTTCATTGCACTGTGAAAAATTTGAAGTTAACAGAGGATTTCTATGACGTTGTGTTGAGATTTATTCTTTAGTGAACGCCGCCTCCCGCAAAGGTGAGAATCGGCACATGTGCGTGTTCTTGTGCTGCATCCTCCTCCTTTTGAAGTGATCTCGCGGCTTCTTGTATGTCTAGTTTATGAAAAAGAATCGTGATTTCAAAGTAACAGCCATTCTCTGACCCAAAAAAAAGAAGAAAGTAAGAGCCAAACTTTTGCTTCGTGAAAACACTTATCTAGCCTCTTTCTTTTGGTCGGCGTGTGTTTGGTTTAACTTGAAACGTGAAAAAGAGGAAAAAAAAGTTTATTTCGCTTGTTCTCAATTTTATAAAGGGAAAATGACACCAACGGTCTATAAATTTGGCTCGATGTGTAATATGATTCTCGAACTGTAGTTTAATGAGTAATATAGTTTTTGAATTTTTAATTTATTTAATGTGATTCATGAATTATTGGTACATGTTCAATTTGTTATCTTTTCATTAATTCAGATTGAAGAACGATATTGAATATTTTCATGTAGTTTAAAGACTAAATTAAACATGCACTAAAAGTCCATGGATCATATATGAACAAATTGAATGTTTGGGAATCATATTGTACATTGGGCTAAAGTCCAAGGATTATATTGAACAAATTAAAAGTTTAGGGATTACATTGCATATTGGCCCAAAATTTAGGGACCATTTGTGTCATTATCACTTTTAGAAATTCAAGTAAAGACCAGTGTTAAAGTTCTTATTGGTTGTTTGGATGCATATCGGTGCCATTTGGATACATTTATTTTTGTTTTCATTTATAAACAATAAAATCATTTGACTTGTTTTCAAATTATTTAAACGTCTCGTTATTGAAAGCAATGATTGGTTTAATGCCTAATAATAAGTTTTTATTCGACATCATTTTGATTAAATAACGTTTATTACATTTCACTGGTCATCATGCCTTTATAATAACTAATGGCTTTTCCACATTTGCAGTTATTATTTTTAAGGTCTGAAGTAACTTTGAAACTAGCAACAATTTATGTAGCATGTTTTTCCATAACAAAGTAAATTGCAATATATTGGAGAAAGTAATTAACTTTCTCAAGAAGTTGGTTGAGTGCCAAAATACCGGATTTGTATACGGTAGATCTCATTCTATTGTATTTCACTCAAGGTAACCTTAATGGCACATTCGCCACTCTTTGAGTGTCGCTTTGCCCGATGCATGTGAAAGGGGAAGCTTGAATGCACCCTAGGGATTAATGGAGCCGGATATCGAAATTTCATGCCGACAGCAACAAAAGAAATATAATGTTTTCATCTTTTCTTGCCCTATCAATAGTTAGCAAATATTTTATTTTGATAGTGATTTTTCATGTAATGAAAAGTAAGTTTGACCCTATTTCCCGCACAAAAAGGAAAAAAGTTCGACTCCTTAAGTAATACTAAATTCTAGACATGCTCGGTAAATTCTAATATAAAAAATAACAAAATTTATGTGGCTACTAACTATTCATCTACCAGTAATGTCCACATGCGTTTAGTAGGTCTTTACATACACTAAAATAATTGTAAATATACTTATACGTCATTAACTATTTATTAAGAATGAACTTTATTAAGACTCACGTAAGAACTCTATTAAAGTTCGATAAATCCGTATATATCGAGAAATTCCACGAATTTGCTATCCGTTTGAAAAAATCATCGCACAGTCTATAAATTATATAAACCAAATACATTTTAATTATCTTGGATAAGTGCATTGAAAGTCTTGAAACTTATTACGAAAGTGTAATCAAGTCCTAAAATTTTTAAAAAGTACAATTAAGTCCTTAAACTCGTTGGGAAAGTGTAATTGAGTTCTAAAACTTTAAAAAAAGTGCAATTAAGTACTAAAAATTATTAAATTAATCTAATCCAGTCCTTCTTTAGGATTCAATTGCACTTTCGTTACAAGTTTTAAGACTTGATTGCACTTTTTAAAAGTGCTAGAACTCAATTATACTTTCGCAATATACTTTAGGACTTTCAGTATACGTATCTCTAATTATCGAAGACGTAGATCTTGCATGAACCGGATTCACGTGATTAACGGTCGAGATGGTTTTGGCCGCCGGTGGTCCGTGGGCCGTACGATCGCGTCTCCGCCTGTTTACGGTTCACACAACTTTTTTTTCGGAGTGTGAAAGCTTTGAAAAATGAGGAGCGAGATTGACTCCAAGCTTTCAGCCTTCTCCCCATCTCCTTCCTCCTCCTGCTGCTCCTGGTGCTGCTCGCGGAGCTGTGCGCTCCCTGCTCGTCCTCCTCGCCATTCGCTCTCTCCTCCCTCCTCGCCTTCGATTTCCCGCACGATTCCTTCGGATTTTCCCGGGAAAGTTTGTCCGATCAGGTGACGCTTCGGCTCCTCACTACCGTCTCTGTCTCTGTCTCTGCCTCTGTCCCTGTTTTCTTCTCCTTCTTGTCTTCTTCTGTTGTCTCCTTTGACCCGCGAGGAAATGCGGTGCAGGAGGAGCTCCTCGCTTTCGAGCGCTCGCTCGATTTGTTTCCGGCTCTTTCTTGGCCGAGTCAACAGAGGGCTTAGCGAAAGTGCGCTCCTTTCCGCAATACGTTGGATCTCGAGGTAGTCCCGAATCTCAGATTTTGCAGCGACGTAACGTGGGCTTCGATAAGACCCTGCAGTTTTGCTCCTTCTCCTGTTTCTTTTTCTTTTTCCTCGGTGGGCAAAGAGCGAAACCTAGAGGTGAAAACTCGGGTTTGAATGATTGGGTGGTTTCCCATTGTCGTTTCTTTCGTTCCTTTTTTTTTTCGCCTTTTCCCTTTTCTTGGGTTCTGGGGTTGCGCGTCTTTTATCAACCAGTGAGCAAGACTGCGAAAGACTGATGCTTGACGGTATCCTATCAACTTATAGTCGCTTTCTTGAAACTCTTCCCTTACTGGCTTGGTTGGAGCCTACTACTCGCTCGCTCTCTCTCTCTCTCTCTTTGATGATTCCTTCGAAGCTGGCATTTTTTCCCCAGTTGTTGCAATGTGATTTTATTATGCCTGAAAATTTCGAAACTTGAGGAGTGCTGTCCATAAATCTGCCAATTCGGATAGCGCATGAGCTTGGACTTTCGGTCCATCTATAACCGATGTGCACCATGGCACTAAAATGTGACCTCGGACAGTAATTCTTGCTCCGACCATGTGCTTTCTTTCTTTCATCCTTTCCTTTTGAGTGGTGAAGCTACTGTTGATGCTGTTAAATATACAAAAGTTTCCATTCCAGGACTTTTATTAGGGGGAACGCGATAAAAGAAAAGGTTGTAAAATTTTAGTTCGGGGGCGAGATATAAGAATTTTACATGAAATTCGATAGGCTATAGCTTACAAACCACACTGAGGTCCGTCATTATATGCATGACCGAAAAAAGGTGAATTCTATCACCTGAATTCCTTCTGCCTAAAGGTAATAAACAATAACAAACTGGCATTTGCCTCATGGTTTATGTCACTCGTTTTCGTGATTTTGTCTGTGCTATGTTACCACAGTGCTTTCAAGGGCTACGTCCATCAGTTAGTGCTGTACTCTCACTTGAGATAGTTGCTGAGAAGGTTTTCTTTGATTGAATGCAGATGTTTGATAAAAGGAATGAAGGCTTCTACATGAACTTCTCTAGGAGAGAGCTTCAGACTTTGTGCAAAAAATATGGTTTGCCTGCCAATCGGTCGAAATCTGATTTGGCGAATTTACTAGCTTCTCGCTCACAGGTAAATTACCTCTTAATTCCCGCGTCTGATCAAGCATCGTTTAGGCACTCTCCTTCTTTTTTTGGTGAGAATTAATTTTGAGATGCAGCTTATTCCTGTCAATATGTGTACGGGACTGATGCAGTGATTATCATTAATCTTCAGGAATGCAATTTAAGACCATTGTCTCAGGTGCACCGTGACTTACAATTAAGATTTGCAGAAAAGGAAGGTCCAGGTTTGCACTTTCTGCTGCTTCCTTCTTTAATTTTCTGATTTCAGTCTTCCGAAGTCTGTCATTTGGTAGGGCATCATTCTTGACTTATTTCTAGTTTGATGCTTATACAAAATATTTTGTCAGGGGCTTCTGTCACGGGTGACTATGGATTAATTTCTTTTCCTCAAGATAAAGATGTCAGGCAGTGGTTTCTTCATACTGTGAAAGCCAATCAGTTAGAAGGATCTGTAGAGGCTCAGAGGTTTGATGAGGTTAGACTAACTAAATTACTGGGTTAAATTTTTTTTTTAAATTTTTTAATCACTCGCTGTCATACTTATTTCGTGTTCGTGGTATTATTAAGCTTGTGTGAGCTCTTTTTCAAAATTTTCTGTAGGGTTCACTCTCTTCACTTTTGTGATGCTATTGAATTCTATTCTGCTAAAAATGCGAATTTGTATTAAAAGATGTTGAATATTTCTTATCTTTTTGGCCTGTTCTTTTGTGCCTGCTGAGTTTGAATTTCTCTGATAGCCTGATGATGATTGACTTCCTTGCTCCTGTAATTGAATATGCAGGACATATCTCGAGACCTACTTCCTCAGCATGCAGAGACACCCTGTCCACAGTTTTCTTTACAAAGTGATAACACTGGTTTTCATTGTGGTGTATTCCCGAGAATGATACCTTGTGAGAAAAAAATGGGTTTGCACGGATCTGGTGCGGCAGAGTGCATGTCCCAAGTCCAGTTTAAAGATATAAAGGCCGGTGCGTTTTGTGCGGCAGATGTTATTTCTGCATCCGTATATTCTGCCATAGTTCCTTCCTCTTCCTTTGAATTTCATGTCAGGTCAGAAGAGGGAATTAATCTTCATGTGGACTTGAACTCAAGCCCATCTGACTGGGCTGAGAAACTTAAAAACGATGTTTGTATATTTGAGAGTGTCAATTGTATGAATAATCAAAATTCTCGTGAGGAGCTTGGACATCCTGGGGAGAATAATGTGATGAAAAGTTCCCTTTCACAGACTGCAGATAACAGCCAAATGGCTTCTGCCCCTTCGGATGAAGATAAAGGAAATAGTTTTGAGGATTATTTTCACCCTGATAGAGTCGACAGTTTGTTGATTTCTGCTGCTGAGGTGCCAAGTGTCATGGATGCAGAAGTTTCAAAGGGTTTAGAAGAAGTTCAGATGCCTATCTCATCCAAATCTGAATCAATTGCGCAGAGCCAGATAATTTCTCCGGTGGCATCCTGTGGCATGGGTGGTTGTAATCCGAATATCTCTGATAACCCCGACATAAAGTCTGGCAATGATTCATTTTCACATACAATATCAGATGCTACAGTTAGTTTTATCACATCAGATCATGTTGCCAAGCATGGTGGCGAGAATTGTATAAATTCAGATTTGCAAAACAACTGTAAACCCACTAATTTTGGTGCGACGGTTCCTGAAGGGTACAGAGTTGGTTCCAAAGAGTTGCACTTGTCGAAAGCTGCAAGTTTTCAGGGGCATTCACTTTCACCTTTCAAGACTAATACAATTGACATTCTGGTTGATTGGAAGAACAAAAGTGAATCAGAGGGTGAATCAGCCAACACCTTTGAGCTTAAGCACGACCATGATGGAAATGTTCCTACTTGTTCCGACATAGAGGTGCTCTCTCTTTTTTTTTCCCCTTTATTATTTTCCCTTGCGGAAAAACAAAGATTTCTTTGCAGTCTATGGACAATTTGCTTCGAATATGTATATATTCTCGATGGTGAATATTGAATTGCCAAATCTCGTTTTATTGCTCATTTCAATAATTACTTTCGTTTAGCTTCTTGTTATTCCACATGAATAAGAAACTATATAAATGTTGCAATATATCTGAACGGCATCCTATCGTTCTTAAGGAGAGGAGCAGCACTGCTAGTGGGGTGGAGAGTATTGTGTAAGTTTATGTCACCAGACTCACCACGAAGCATTGCATTTTGTATTGTTTTTTCTATTATTGTTGCCTGAGTATAAAGGTTTCTTCCTTCTGTCAGATGCTCGCAATTTGAAAAATCATCTGCAAGAAGTTCTTCAAGATTTGATGATATTGATTCGAATGAAATGTTACAAAAGAGACTACGAGTGGATAGCGATGACCAAAGTGACTGTGTTGGAATGGATGTTAGAATTTCTAGATGCTCCAAACATCCTAATTTGGAAGTTCTACCAAGAAGATCTGTGCGGCTGGTGCCCAAGGTATGGATCGGCAACCTCTTTTGGTTTCTTACAATGATGAATCAACAAAAGCTTAGCCACCTCATCATTTATTTCTCCACGATTACTTCACATGAATCTAAAAGCTAGAGGAGAGAACTGGGAGAAATGTTGAGATAGCCTCGCCCTCTAGTCAATCCTTGGGAGGATGATGCTAATGTCATAGAGTATGAGAGTGTAATATAAATGGTTACAAATCATTCACTAAGTATGGTAAGATGATACATTAGGACTTTTGTGCTTATCGACTGCAAGCTGTCTTCCGTCATCACTATCTTTGGCCATTAGCATCCATCATTTTGATAGCAACCTTACTTCTTCTGGGGATCTTGTACTTTGTAGATGAAATTTTGTGATTCATATTCACATTTCTTGGAGTCTTGTCATCTCAGTGAGGTCATTCTTTTGATTTGAGTTAGTGCTATAGATTGGTATTTTGCGTGACAAGTGTACGGATCTCTGGGGAATTGTTATTTGCTTAAACTTACCAATAAGTTTCTAGGTTGCATCTTGCAAATCATTCATTAAATATGCTGCTCACTGATGTAGGTGTCATCTTAGTTATTTTTACTGGAAAACGGGAGATAATTGCCGAGTATCTTGGGAGAGACCATAGGCATGTGGTTTGAATTGTGAGGAAGTTCCACCAGCCTGCCAACATTTTATCCATTTGTCAGTCTCTTCTTGATTAGACGGATTTCTACATAATTTTTTCGGCAATTAAAATGCAACGAGAGTACTTTTGTAATTAATATAGAGTGAGAGAGTAGACCGCTAGACATTATTGGATCCCAAAGAAATCTGTGCTTTGACATTCATCTTAGAGGAGGACCCATCCCTTCTATTTAATGTATAGGCCTAATTCTTTTTATCATTTCACTTCAGAACTTACCTACAGGATAGGCACTAAACTTTATACTTGTCTGGTCGCTGTATCTTGCCCTTGTCTAATTCAGTGCTCGTCCTTGTCTTTAGATAGAAGAATGGGGCAACAGCAGAGTATACTAACCAAATTATGTGAATTTAAGTGCTTGTAGTCTTGTCCTAATCTTCTTCCAGTTTTAATCTTTATTCAGTTTATTTCAATGTATCTGGGTGATCATTTGCTATCTTGCTTCTGGAATGGTTTCCTTACTCTCTGGTTTAGGTTCAATAGAGCTATTCTCCAGTGTAATTAGTTTGCATTTCCCTTCTAATTGTAGGTTCTTATCCTTAAATCTATTGCTTAAAGGTTAAGTTCTTTTCTGCAGTGACTTTTTGCACTCGGCTGGGGCAACAAAATGAACATTCTTCATCATAAGGAGGCAGTAAGTGTGGAGATTCATTCGTCACTTTTGAAGGAACATGGCATTAATATGAATTATCACTATACTCCCTTCGTCTCAAGTGTGGTGGGCTTATTTGAAAGGGAGAAAAAACTTGTTATCACTCTTATGAGTTTCCCTTCAGAATTTGAGAATTAGATAAGATATACATACGTATATATTCTAAGTTCCAGAAAACTATTGAAAACTTATATATTATTTTATATGTCAATAGTCGTATATCTTGAGAGTTTTCAGATTTTTCACGTAGAATAAAAGTCATCTTGTGAGAGTCGCAAGATCTTTAAAAACTAAAAATTATCATAAATGAAACTTGCTGATGTGACATGCACCAAAGTTGGAAATACTTTATGTTTCCATGGTAAGATTTTGTTCTCTATATGCGTTGTGTAAACCAAAACTTACTCATTGTGGCAAAGAAGAAAGAGAAAAAAGATCAAAATCATTCAGCTTTCTAGCTCGCCCTATTGTAAGGGATGTTTTGTCTTTGAAAGAGTGCTGAGTAGTGTATTTATATGCAGTTGACCAACGCGAGTCGCGTTAAAAGATGTCATCGCTTTCTTGAGTTCTAATGAGCCTCATGTTTGCTGCTAGCATAGCATTTACCGTTCGAACTGAGATTATTTCCCTAATATTCCAGGATGTCTCCTCACTGCAGGTGGTTTCATTTACCGGGGAAACTCCTGCGCTTCTCCTAATTTTGTCGCGCGTCAGAGAACTGAAGTCACTCGAAAGAACCAAAAAGAGCCAGATTCATGCAGTGTTGTCATTGTGTGTGTTAATCTATTGATTATTATTTCTCCATAAGTATGCATATAATCTGTAAGCCTTTTGCTTAGCATATTTACTTTCATTTTGTACTCTTTTCTACATCAGAACAAAGTGTTTTAGCTGCATACTTGGACAACCCGTTTGCGCGGGAATGTACTTTTTTCAGATTGTCAACTAGGGTTCTGCACTTCTGACCAAAAAAAAAAAAAAACTAGGGTTCTGCACTTTCTAGTTTGGAGAATTAGCTGTGTACCTAAGTATTTTCAGATGAGCTTACCACAACTTTTAAAGTGAGCTTTGCTAAGCTCTTGAGTATTGTATTTCGGACATGATTGTTTGGTTACCAGAAGCTTAATCGAGAGCCGCGACACGAATGAACGATCTCAACTAGAGTCGCATGATCCACTTGATGTTCCCGGCCAAGTCGGGATTTGTTTTGGGTTTGTGATATGTTCTAATTTATGAATGTTAATATCATTAGCAGATTGACCTTTCCTTAATAAAACAAAATAGCTGCTATTAATAATTAATAAGACAGTCAATTAAATTCTTACTAAATACTAATTCATTGATTATAAGACAAAAAAATGATATCATCTTGGTAATGAGACAATGATGCCTTATTTTCATGACATCGTGTCTTGAGCACGTTAAGATATCAATGGTTCCAAACGTTTGAAGATTTTCATGGATTGTGTGTCCTGAAGCAGGGCAACATGTCCAAATGATTATTTCGTTCGTTTTCCTAACTTTAAGAATTTCAATTTGAGAGAGGCCTAAACGGGTCGATGCCACGTGGCAGCGCCAGCGAAAAGGCTATAGTTTATTTATGAGAATGGGCTGAAACGAAAGGGGTCTATGAATCCTGGGGTGGAATTTCTAATTTCGAGTTTTTTGGGGTTCTAATTAGACAATAATGTTGTGGGGGCAAACTTGTAGTTGACCAGTATGACCACCGTGTCATTATTTTGCTGAGACCTATAAAAACTTATGTCCGCAATAGGTCGGTCATTAGGTGGTCAATTCAATTTTCACATTTCAATGTCAGTAATAATGCTAATTAAAGTAGAAATTAATACACCTTGACATACGAAATGATTCGACAAATTATAAATAATTTTTAAAATAAGTGGGTCACATTTTTTTAAAAAAAATAAAAAGGTGGGTTGTGTCACTTAAAAGGATAATTTTATAAATCAATAGTATTAAAAAGCAAGATTTTAAAAAAAATAATTAATAAAAAGAACATGTTAGAAGGAAGTTACGTTAGTTGTCTTTCACTCGAGTAATGATTTAATTATTAACAAAAGTTGGTCTTTCACTCGAGGGCTTGACCAAGAAAACACACACGCCCAGAATCAAAATCCCCCCCAAAAAAAATTAATAAGAAAATTGAAAAAATCAAGACTAATTAAATGCAATTTAGGGTTTGTGGGGCTCTAAGCTAAATGACTTTGGATTTCGTCGTCGCTCGGACGACGACGTTTCGCGGGACGATTCGGAGGAAAACTTATAGAAATGAAAAGTTCCGCAGAATGACAGCACAGAGAGTTCCGCATGTTATGGATCAGGAAATTGCTGGTTTTTTTTTTTTTTTAAGAAAAGGTAATAATCCACCAGATTATTTTGCTGATAATTAAAAGATATTCGAATTTCGGTTTATATCTTAGGGAGAGGCATTAATTGTTGGTCCCCCAACATCGATGTTTCCGTTTCTATCTTCAGGTCTAGTCTAATCATTTGAATCGATTGATGTTTTTAAAATCATTCATTTTTCTTTCTGGGTAATAAATGGTTAAGAAAAAGATGGTCCAAGCCTTTTATTGCATCGAAATCTTATGGAATGTGTAGGCACCAACTTGATCACCTATCGATAGATGGACTAAATCAAGACATTAGTCTTCGACAATGTGTTTTTTTTTTTGTATTGCCATGTGACTACTTCTGAGAATTTGCTAATTTATAATAAATGACACTTGATAATACAGTCCATTGTCTCTTAATTTTCTGACGAGAAATGACACTTTAGGTAGATGAACTTATGAACTCGACTTGTGAAATACCCGCATTAACTTTAAGGGTCAGATAAGGCGTAAGCTAAAATTTAAAAATCAGTATTAATTGTATTTCATGGTGTGTACATCTAATACGCACGCACAAATTCACTATTTAAATCATTGACGATAATAACAAACAAAAAAACGGGAGTTAATTGTGGCAGAAACGACGAAAACAAGCGGATCATCGAGTAACGCATAATAAATTTGTTAATTAAAAGTATACGAGCCTAATTAAAAGTATTTAGGATCGATAACTATGAATGGTATTAGTTAGAAATCTCATTCAAGATCATTAATTGCGTCACGCTCGAAAGCAGGTCTTGATGAAGGAAATGAAAAGGACCTGAGAGAGTGTTCAATTTCTTGCATAGGCATGTGAAGAATTCTTGAACAACTATTTCTCTATCTTCTGAGAAAAAAAAATATTAATTATCTGAGATTGAGATTATTGTTTATGTTGCTCTAAACCCTGGAATAACGGTGGCATGGGGAAGCTTATCAATAAATAAATTTAATAAAAAAAAAGACAAGCATAAATAATTTAATGGGAGTTGTAATCAGAACAGGACAAGAATTGGAACAAAGATATGAATTAATTAATGGATTGGGAGTCGGTCTTAATCTTCGAACTCTTCATCGGAGTTTGTGTTGGCTGCCGGAAAATCAGGGGACAGTTTGCTCTTCTTTTAATCAATTCTGATATTGATGTTTTTTGAAGGCAGATCCAGGGCTTAATCAATTCTCAAATAGATTAGTAAGACTAAACTTAGTACATTTTTTTTCCGAAATAAATTGTAATGTTTTAGTTTCATTTAGGAAATATTGTATTCGTTTATAGAAGTGGGTTGATGAAAATTTTTAATAGGTTTACTGAAATTATCCAACACATCAGTAACCGCATGGCTAATTTTAGATACAAATTCTCTAATCTCTATGCTCACATATTAAGGGAAGCTAGGTTCCTATTTTTCTAGGAACCATTCTCCCTTTTATTTCTTTAAAATCTGTAAAAAAAAATTTAATCTATCACTCAATTCACAAAAGAGGACCCCTTCAAGACCGGAGCGATTACGTTTATTTATGCACGTAAGTAGTTGTTAATTCCAACCGAATTTTGCCTCAAATTGAAAAAAATTTCTAACTCACTATTGTAAAAACGCCTTGATTATCAAGAACATCTTTAATTTCATCATGAATATTTTCCATTAGTCCACCCGAGAGCCGGACCGAACCCATCAAAAACTAAGAACCGATCCCTCTGGTTCGGTTCCCTGTTCCCGGTCGGGAACCGATTAGCCCCGAGCCCCACTAAAGAAAATCCTGGAGACTCGGTGCTAGTTTATCGATGGAGCCTTATTTGATGTAAGTGGACGAGATTATATTAAGTGCATTTATTAACGTTAATCGAGCTAAGTGTTTGGACACCCGAGTCACTTGAGAAGGAAAACAAAATCTGTCCTCGTCATAGCGGGAAATATGGGGGACGTTTTTACTTTCCCGGCTGAAGCCGAAATAGCTTAGCTCAGCTCTGCTCTGTGTTGCTCGTAACATGCATGCAAGAAACTAATACCAAGATGGGATGGAATGGCCCTCCTAAAAGATGAAGTTAAAACCAAAGAAGGGAAGAAAATTTCGAAATTTTTGTGTTTTGGGGGGGGACAGAGAGAGAGAGAGAGAGAGAGAGAGAGAGAGAGAGAGAGAGAGAGAGTTGCAGGGGAGTAATGGAATGGAAGAGAGAGTGTGATGCATGAAAAGGATCAAATGGGCATTAACTCTCTCATTTAATGCTTCACCTACACTTCGCACCATCTTCGGCCAACCTGCTGTTTCATGGCATTTATTCCTCTCTCTCTCTCTCTCTCTCTCTCTCAAACACCCGCACAGAGTGCAAGCAACCACCGTCCAGAAGCTCAAAACTCCCATCTCTAACCAGATGTGATGTTCCTCCCTCTCTCTCTCTCTATCTGTCTCTCAAGCATTTTCCCGTTTCATCTACTTCACCAGCACACGCTGTCTGAAGCAGAACAGGAATTGGAGGTAAGACTGTTCTCCCCCACCTATGAGAAGTTGTATGAAGAGCAAGCTCAAAGGTATGCCTCCACATCCGATGTGATCAGTGGCCATCATGAGCTTCTAAGAACTCTCATGCAGGTTGGTTTGTGGTAAAAATGTCTCTCTTTTAAATGAAGTTGGAGAAAATGGGTGGAAAAAGGAACTAGATTTGCACTACTTTGGGTCGTGGAAGGAGCACAGGAAGAATGGACAAGTCAATGATTCTGATGGGGGGGAAAAACCCTGTTGTAAGTGTGCTGCTTTTCTGGATTTGGTTTCTTGCAAAAGCTATTAGCAAGGTCTGACATGGGTTCATGCCGCTACGATGGTAGGTTTTTAGGTGGAATGTGAGATTGCTTAGTTTTGTTTCAGCTTTTCTTGGTCAAATGAAGAAGACATTTCCCAGTTGTGGAGTGAAAATTGTGTTTTCTCCCATTTGAGGTTAGAGATGTTGATGTCTGACTCAACCTGGGCGATCCACTGCGGAAAGTCATTCAAGAAAATGTAGCGAGGGGCAGACGTTCTGGGAGTCTTCCACTTGTCGAGCTGGGTTTTATGATGTGATGGCATCCCTGAGCAGTTTGGTGAGAGATCTGCTCGTCTCCATTTTTAGCATTAACAGAGTGTTTCTGGGATTCTTGTGGAATCTGGTGCTCTCGCCGAATTTCTTGCGACTAGTTTCGGGTCTCGGTTCCATGTCCTCCATTGCCATTTCTTATGGCGAGAACGGCCCTGTTTTCTGCGGGTTAAATTCAGACGGTTCCCATCTTGCGACCTGTTACGGCTCGAATACTGCGATAATATATGGGATTCCAGGTCATTTCCCCTTAGCCGGCTTGACGGCGGGCGACGGATTTGTGTGCGGTCTCCTTTTGGATTCTAGCCAACCGTATTGCTGGGGAAGTAGTGCCTACATAGAGATGGGTGTGCCTCAGCCCATTACGAAAGGAGCTCAGTACCAAGAAATCAGCGCTGGCGATTACCATTTGTGTGGCTTGAGGAAGCCCTTAACAGGGAGGCGCCGAAACGTTTCGCTGGTGGACTGTTGGGGCTATAATATGACTGCTAGCTATGCAATTGATGGGCAGATCCATTCTATCTCCGCTGGGTCCGGCTTTAACTGCGGGCTGTTTGCTCAAAATGGATCGGTCTATTGTTGGGGCGATGAGACAAGTAGCCGTGTGATCAGTCTAGTTCCAAAAGACATCAGATTTAAGAAAATTGCAGCCGGTGGATACCATGTTTGTGGGATAGAGGATGGAGTTAGTTCTAGGGTCTATTGTTGGGGAAGAAGCTTGGTGCTTGAAGAGGAAATCTCGGTGGCACATTCATCGGATTCCAACCAAGGACATGTCGACTTGCCACCTCGTGATCCAATGACTTCAATTGTGGGAGGAAAGTTTCATGCTTGCGGGATCAAGAGCGCTGACCAGGAGGCAATCTGTTGGGGTTTCATGGTGAAACCTAGCACCCCAGCTCCCGGCAACACCAAGATTCTCGAAATAGCGGCTGGAAATTATTTCACATGTGGCATCCTCGCCGAGAAATCCCTTCTGCCCGTGTGTTGGGGTCAGGGGTTTCCTACATCTCTTCCGGTTGCTGTCTCACCGGGCCTCTGCAAATCGGTTCCTTGTGCTCCCGGCACTTATGAATTTAGTCAAGATAATGCTCCGTGCAGCTCGCCAGGTTCCAGAGTTTGCTTGCAGTGCAGCGACGGCTGTCCTACCGGGATGTACCAAACTGCTGAATGTACATTGAAATCTGATAGGAAATGTGAGTACAATTGCTCTAGCTGCTTCTCCGCCGATTGCTTCTCGAATTGCTCTGCTAATTCAAATGCCAATCTTAATAGAAGAAGGAACCAGAGATTCTGGTCTCTGCAATTGCCGGTCATTGTTGCAGAAATCGTGTTTGCTGTCTTCTTAGTCATTGTTGTATCTACAACTGCACTTTTATACGTCCGTTATCGAATAAGGAACTGTCAGTGCTCGGCAATGGATTCGAAAGCCAAGAAATCGATGGCAAGCGGTTCTCCTTTCCAGAAACAGAACACTAGTATGAGCCGTCCCGAGCTAGATGAGCTCAAGATCAAAAGGGCTCGGACGTTCTCTTACGAGGAACTCGAAAGGGCCACTGGCGGGTTCAAAGAGGAGTCACAAGTGGGAAAGGGGAGTTTCTCGTGCGTATTCAAGGGGATCCTGAAAAATGGCACCGTGGTCGCGGTGAAAAGAGCCATAATGTCTTCGGATAAGCAAAAGAACTCGAAAGAGTTCCGTACGGAGCTGGATCTGCTCTCTAGGCTCAACCACGCCCATTTGCTGAATTTGCTCGGGTACTGCGAAGAAGGCGGAGAGAGACTTCTGGTTTATGAATTCATGGCTCATGGATCATTGCACCAACACCTTCATGGGAAGAACAAAGCCCTGAAAGAGAGGTTGGACTGGGTGAGAAGGGTCACCATAGCGGTCCAAGCCGCTCGGGGAATTGAGTATTTGCACGGCTATGCTTGCCCGCCAGTGATCCACCGGGACATCAAATCCTCGAACATACTCATCGACGAAGAGCACAATGCGCGAGTGGCGGATTTTGGCCTGTCCTTATTGGGCCCTGTCGACTCCAGCTCTCCGCTGGCCGAGCTTCCGGCAGGCACTCTCGGATACCTCGACCCCGAGTACTATCGGCTTCACTACCTCACCACTAAGTCTGATGTCTACAGCTTTGGCGTTCTGCTGCTGGAAATCCTTAGTGGCAGGAAAGCAATAGACATGCAATATGAGGAAGGTAATATAGTGGAATGGGCTGTTCCTCTTATCAAGACCGGGGACATTTCGAATATCTTAGACCCGGACCTAAAGCCTCCATCCGATCTTGAAGCTCTAAAAAGAATCGCGAATGTCGCTTGCAAATGCGTGAGGATGCGCGGGAAGGACCGGCCCTCGATGGACAGAGTAACCACTGCGCTGGAGCGAGCGCTCGCGCAGCTAATGGGCAGCCCGTGCATCGAGCAGCCGATATTGCCCACCGAGGTGGTCTTGGGAAGCAGCAGGATGCACAAGAAGTCATCCCAAAGGTCATCGAACCGGTCGGTGTCGGAGGCCGACGCAGGGGAGGGCGAGGACCAGAGGTTTGAGTTCCGCGCGCCGTCGTGGATAACATTCCCGAGCGTGACGTCATCGCAGAGGAGGAAGTCCTCGGTCTCGGACGCCGACATCGAGGGGAAGAACTTCGATGTGAGGAACGCGGCGGGGGGCGGGGTCGGGGACGGGTTGAGGAGCTTGGAGGAAGAGATAGGGCCCGCCTCTCCTCAGGAGAACTTGTTCTTGCAACACAATTTCTAAGGATGGCTTTAGGAATGTAAAGGGCACGAGAAGGAGAGAACTATGGAGGAGGGTTGTCAATTCTTTTTTGCATTGGTTTCTGACTCGCGTTCTAGGAATTGCAATGTATCTTTTTTCTCTTTTCCCCCTTTAATATTTTTTTTCTTTTCTTCTCTTACATTTTTCCCTTTTCTAGGGGGGGCCCTCTAAGATGGTAGTCACTGTGATGATAAATTTGGAGATGATGTTTGGGGTAAGCCAAGAAATTGGATAAACTCAATCTTCCTGGTAAATTCTTTGTTCGTGCTGTTACATTTTTCCTTCTGTGCCTCCTTTGCTTCCTTCATTTTTTTGCACCCTTCTTGGTTGCAGAGGTTGTCCATTCATGAATTTCTTAATCATTTCGAACTAATTTATATCAATTCGAGGTTTTCTTATCGTATGGAACGGTTCCCGCAAAAACAATAAAATGAAAAAAAATTGAAAGGGTCACGGTGACCGATGCTTGGGACACTTATCAAGCATGACTAAATAAGTAACGATTCGTTTTCAAAACATAGATAACACATGACGGTAGACAATCGGACATTACAAAATTTTGTGAAATTAGTTGGTTGTTGATTATAAATCCAAATAAAAAATAGAGAGGAGAACAAAACAGGAACGAGGACGAAAAGGTATGTGTGTGCCCCCACGCAGGATCGAACTACGGACCTTCAGTTTACAAGACTGACGCTCTACCACTGAGCTATAGGGGCTTTCCGTAATCTCTTTTGTTTATAATTTATATTGAATCAAAATTGCTCATATAAAATAATTTCTAACTTAGAAACTATAATCAGATTTTATCGGATAACCCCAACGAGACCAAAGATCATCCAAAGAGAGAAAGCTTCACATATAGTTACCGTACTATTCCATTTGATTGCCGAACCAGTAACGAGTCACTTTAAGCGCAAAAAGGAGAAATCATGTCAGGTTATTGTGTGATTCCGATTAGTTTAGTTTGTTACCTTTAAGTTCTCCCTTGTCCAAATAGATTTTTAGGCTCTCGTTAATAATTTTAGCTCGGTTTAATGATTCGTCGTCGAGGGGTTCTTACACTGTTCAATTTTAATCCCTCTGCATTACGCCCAATCATGTTTTTGCTTCAATCGTGTAGCTGAGAAGCATCTTATCTTACTACTATCTGCAGCTTCAAATCCCACTTTTACGACATCGTTCACTCTTCAACATGTAAAAGCTACGATGCATCTAATGAAAAAGAGCTCAAAGGGAGACAAAACATCAGTCACCCCCCCCCCCCCCCAAAATTTTCATTTCGACGCTTTCGCTGCTTAAAGCAGTGACAAATACAGAAGATCCAATTTACAGCTAGCAAGCCGAATGTACATTTTGTACAGACACCGTCGTCTGTCCGAGAAATATAAACGCATCACAGTCAAACCGGTTGCGTTTTCTGGACAATGGAGAAGAGAAATACCAAAGATGAAGAAAACAAAACAAATGACTGACTTTGTGATTACTGGCTATTCCTATCCTGCGTAATTGGCAAGCCTATGGTCATTTACATGTATGAGAAAAGCTTGTATCCTGTGTTTCCCACTCCGAGTGACTGTACAGTTTATACGGTGACGACCGAACCTGGGACAAAAATTTGAAGATGAGCTAACAACTGCAAAAACGGCCTGATTTTCTTGCTTTGGGACATGGAGCGGCGGCCCTTGCAAATGGGGTCCAAAATACTAGTATGGCATGAGATCTGCGAAACAATCCACATGTCAAATAAGACTCAGGGCTCAACTTTATTGTTCAGATAACAAAACTGAACCAGTATGTATGAAACCCCGAGTACCATCTTATGGCTCAAGTCGAGTGTCATTTCAACGAGTGGGAGAGGTGACAAACCTGACGATAAACTGGTTTGCAATAGCATCCTAAATCCAGATGGATGGGTTTCTAAATTGTGTCAACATTGCCTCCTCCAGGAACTTCACAATGCTCTCTCTCTCAACGTTCTTCTCCTTCTTAAGTTCAATGTGACGAACCTGGAGATAAAGATCATTCAATCAAATACCCTTGATGATACCAAATGTACTACAATTGAGATACGCTAATGTGATAAAGCTTGTAGAAGACTATATTGAAATGCATAGTTATAGGGTGCCATATTAACTACATCTTTGTCAGATGACTTCTTCAAACAAGTGCATGCACTCCTTCCTTATTTGCTTCATTTTAGACATGATTCATCAACATCATGAAAACTGTAAATTCAACTTGTGGCGCAAGGGGCTTCACATCCCAATATGCATTCAAGGATTTGTTACAGTTTTTTCTTTTCTTTTAGCCTTTTAATCACATTACCTACGGGTGAGAAGCCATATAAATGTATACATGTGTCTACTTACCTGTGTCTGCATGTGAGATCGTGTGTGCATTAATTCAGGAAAATCGGATGTTACATTTACTAGGTTTAATCTCAAAATTGAGATGGTAATTATGGTGCAGAGTAGATAGAAAACATTTTTCTATGCAGGCCTAAAGTGAAAATTCAATACAATTTATTCGATTGCATCAATTGGTAGATTGATTTGCCACCAAAGAGTAAGCAAGAAAAATCCATATCAACATTCTGATTTGCTGATATTGTCAGTTTGACACTGAATAAAGCAATCAAGAAAAGTGCAGCCGAAGAATAGTAAAAATGAATAAAAGACAAAATGAAAATTGAAAAAGGTCTAATTCCACGTTACAATTTTCTTTTGAGAGAGCATTTTGGATAAAAGTTAACAAAATTATAACATTACTCCCAACAAAAAAATGATCCCCCAACTAGAAATAATCATCAACACGAATGCCACTAGTTAGTTAATTCTTGGACTTCTTTACTTAATTTTTCTGAATTTTTATTTAATAAAATGCATTCACAAGCAATTGATTGAATAATAAATTCTCTGAAGTCCAAGTTAGGCCAAGGTGCAGCAAAACAAAGCGGTTCATGAAGTCAAAGTTTGTTTTATGAGTGGGAAGAAGATCGCAATAAGTGCAGAAACAAAACTTAAGGTTTTTGCCATTGGTCAATTGAAAACTTAAGATTTTATTTTGGTTAATTACAGACTTAAAATTTTAAAAAAGCCACAATTAGATCTCAAGCTTGCCGTCGGTGGAATTCCAGCATCGGAAACGACACGTGGCAGATGACTAAATATTCCACGTGCGAACCACCTCAGATTTTCAATGCCTAAATTTTACCGACGACAAACTCGGAACCTAATTCAGTTTTTTTAATCTTGAGTCCTTAATCGAATAAAATAAAACCTCAAGTCCTCGATTGATCAATGACCAAAACGTTAAGTCCTGTTTCTGCACTTATCCCGAAGGACATCCTATGGTTTGATTTGCTTCACAGTTATTTGTATTGAGTGAACAAAAACTTAAGCAAGTTTGGACTTATCTTTTTGGTTAAAAGAGGAGATTCATTCGCTGGTAAAGATGCAAGTAAGTACAAGTTTGATCTTCAGATATGCAGAACACTGATAATTGGCATAAGGATGCACGGTTCCCTAGACTTCTAGATGTTTACAATGTACATTTTTCACGGTATGTCCATATTTTCACCAGTAAAACCTAGTTATAGAGTTTTTTTTCTTGGTCGACTAGTTTCAGAGTTCAAACAACAAAAATAGTAGATTTAATTGCGCAAAGATCCAGTATCTGGTCAATAGGTCCAGACAGTGGATTACCCCAACAGGAATTTTATCCTTTTATTTACCATTCTATGGGAAATCAAAGCAAAGTATGCCACATGAGAAAATTGCATATGTAGAGGGAAAAATCTGAAAATAGTGCCAGTATCACCCAAAAAGAATAATTTAAGCTTGTTGCACCGCTAATGTTTAATGAGTGTCCAACAGGAGAAATTGAACTGTGTAATAAGCAGCAGCACAGAACAAATGGAGGCATCTAACTTGAGTTTCACAGGTCAAGCTATACGAAGTACGAAATTAAGTTTCTGAGCTGCCATTTATAGCATCTTCTGATAAGAACCCCTCTTGACAAAGAAATATAATTTTAGTTATTGATCCAAGTTCCAACAAGGGAAGACTTACCTTAACTGAATCAGTCTGAGATGTGTCAGTTATGATGACAAGACACTTAATATCATGCTCATTCGCATATTCATATTGCTCTGTGAAGCTTGGATCAGGTAGTGGCACAAACTCTGCCTGTTGAATCAGATAATTGGCAAAAAAAGAGTTTCAGACAGAAAAGCGACCGATAACAGCGGCATAACGAGAAAAGGAAAAAGAGCATTGGAAATCATCATTTTGGTAACCTTAATATTTGCCTCCCATAACTCAGAAACAAGTTCCATGCGGTCTACCAACAAACCACCTCCTCCTCTTGAGCACACGAGAACACTGTTGCCAGCCTCATTTCTTCAGGAGTAAGAAATGGAGGGAAGAACATGAATATCAAATGAGAAAACTTATGGTCAATTGACTTAAAAGCAGGAAGGAACTGAAAATTTCAGAAAGATGTTACCTGAAAGGTTTTATTTCCATAGACGAATGCTGAATTATCATCTCTAAAGCTAAACTTACCCCAACAGCACCTGGAGGACTTGCTTTCTGAAGAGGAAAAGGCACAGTCAGAACAGCAAAACCCAACAATAGTCAAGCTCAGGACCTATCAGGTCCAAAACAGAGTCATTTAGGTGAAGGAAGCAAATCGAAATAGTTGGCCAAAATTAGAACCAAATTCAAATGCTCAAAGAAACAACAATGACTCGTTATGTTTTCCCCTAAAAAGACTAAAGACCGAGGTGATGTGACCTAAGAAATGACAGATTCTTGGGTTCCAGACTGAGGACTACCAATTGGCAAATAAGAACATCCAACCACTAAATCAAGGTGCAACTTAGTTATCCATTAGAATACCTTCAATAAATTCTAAAGGAATACTTATTTTGCCAAGTGGAAATATGTGCTTTTGAGCTCAAGAGTTAAAGAGACTCGAGCTGAAAAGGAAAATCTCATAGCCTACATGTTCATGTTCCCACAGCTGATGAAGCAAGTAGTCGTAGCGTCCACCAATAGCAAGTAATGCACTTTCCAAAAGTGATCCAGGATTGTTTTCCCGTGTAAAATGTACCTGGGAAAATAAAATAGCATAAAACTCAACATGAACCGCCCAAAGTTTGAAAATGGATTGTCTTATGTTTTTCGGATTATTGATGCAACAAGATAATGTATAGAGAAAGCATCTGAAATTCTGCATCTGTATTTCAGTTTGGAATTAATATAGTCAACACATTGCAAGTAAAGGCAACAAGCCATATGTCACCATAAGGATCTTAGTCGCCAAACCCTGTCTGTAAGCACTAGTGTTGCTCAGAGGCAGATTTGAAACATTTAGACTACTCAAGACAAAATCTTTTGAAACAGGAATAATTAGTGCTGAGCCTCAAACATGCCAACACACGGCTGGATATTCAAATACCACATGCGTTTACAAATTTGAAACTAGAAATAGGAGCACATGATTCTACAGAACTATGACATGGTCACATATCAGATGTTCAAAGAACTCAATTCACATATGAACTATTTGTTCATATAAACAGTACAAATTCAAATACCTGAAAGAATATATCTCGATGATAGTATTCTGATGGTGGCATCAAGGCATTAATATAGACATGTTTCTCAATCCTCCAAACTCTCAAATAACTAAAGAGGTTTGACAATTCATCAAGCGCCTTGCGAGTAGGCTTATCTGCCAAGGAGTGCCGTCAATGATCAAAATAAAATCCATCAAAGAAAGTAAAACACAACATCAATTATACCAGCTGGAAGGGCACCCCTGAGTCTAGAAAGAGTATGATCAGCAGCTCCACAGAACCTTAAGCCCACAGTCTGCAATCTATTTACAATGGCTTCTGCCAGTTTAAGTTCCTGAAAAGAATTTACAGGATTCATGAAGATGTACATAGATGATCATTGTTAAAAATGTTTAGCATGCTCCACTAGACTACTTATTGACACTAGTCACGTTGTAAATGTTGCACATACGAGTCCACCAACATCTGTTATAAAAGCTTAAGCCATTAGAGAAAAGGCGTGGTTCAATCTTTAAATACTAGTAGCACTCCTATTCATGCATAGGCTAGACTTTGGCCTAAGACTACAGCATGGGAACATATAATTGGGGAGGAACTAAGGGCATGTAAAGATCTAAACTCAAAACCTACAGTTCTGATACCATGTAAATTATCATACCATTGCCAACTATTTTAAAAGCTTAAACTGTTAGATGAATGTGTGGTGTAACATTTAACCACTTCAACAGTTAATTCTTATTTTACCATGTGAAGACATGAGAATACTTTCTCCAGGAAATACATAAGAAGAAAAAGGTACACAGTGTTCCCAGTGTTTTAATAAACAAAAGAAGAATAATTCGAAGCATTAAAGATACTTAAGCCGGTCTATTTACAATGTATTCATCAGCACCCAATAGATATGCATGCTGATTCCCACTTCCACAAAATCTATAATAAGCTGCAATATAGGCTTTTGGCTATTGTCAGGCATGAATAAGATCTTCAGAGAATTTTTTTTGGATAATCATCTTAAGAGAAATTCCTTTCATGATACTAATCCTATACAGCTTATCCATATTGAAGATTCTTTTTTTTTTCTTAAGGAAAACAACAACACCATGCACTATGATTGTGTGCATTTCACCAATATCATTTTTCAGCAACAAACTTCTGTTTTATTAAGAATACTAATATGCACCATTTGTTCATACAAAAACAACTTCAGTGCTTCTTTGGCCCAACGAAGAAAAATTAATGATTGAGCTTACTTATACATCTTTTGATACTTGCTTATTGCAATATAGTACGGCTTGGGCACAAGAACAAAGTCTGAACCAATAATATGGCTCACATCATCCTTTGCCTCCAGCAACATTCACAACCATTTTCTTAGCTTCAAATTTTTATTCTAGACTAATTATAATGATGAATTGTAAAGTCTACTTTATGCCTCATCATTATTCAAAAGTTTCTCTCTGTAATACATGAGGAACCCATCCTTCAGTCATGCTTTCACGAAGCTCTCTCAGAAATTAAAAACCTACAAGCTTTAAATCCCTTATAAAGATTAATTTGGTGTTCTTTATTTCTATCAGAAGAAGAATTGCTTGAGGAGAGAAGAAAGTTTTGGGGTAAGTTTCTTTCATGAAATCCATCATTATACAGAACGTGCTGTAGATCCTTTGAGGGTGTTATCTGCCCAAAAAGAAAAAAAAAGGATTTATAAATTAAAATTCTGATATGCTGGATAAATGCCTCGGGGCACATGTCTATTGCGTTTCATATCCCCTAGACTGAATATTCTGTCGAGTTCTTACTAATTCTGTACTCATAGGAACTATTCTTACATATGGAAAAACGACAACTTCCGCTTTCCTGTCCGATACCATCTGGGAAAATAATGTGTGAAATCTATTTTGTCATCTCAAGCAATGCATGAAGTTAAATTAATTCCCAAAAAGAAGAATATGTGCACTATTTGGGAAAAACTATTCTATCAGAACTGAAACCCAGGTCCAATTCATAGACAAAGGCTTAGCTCATCAAGTAAGGGATAGTAAAAAAGATTGCAGATGTGCACCTGCAGAAAATATAGAGAAGCAATGACCTGTTAACATTTCTAGCCTAAGATACACTTAGTCACCTAGACATAGTATTGAAGTGGCAGTGTTAACCCAGAAGAGCACAGAGGTTAACAAGACCATGTGATTTTGCTTATACCTGCAAAAGCTGGCGCCTTATTACAGCCCATTTTGATTTCCACTCAGAGGATTGAGGACGCAGCGAACCCATGAGTGAAAGAAGCTTAAAAGAGAAATTGGAAGTATCTGTCAGCTCAGATTTACATATCAATTAATGTGTGTGACAACAATACATTGATGCAAGTACCTCTGCAACTTTATTTCTGTGTTCAGCCTTTATACCTGTCCAAGACCATATTGCTTCCAGCAAGTCCCCATGATTCAGATGAACATCACAAGATTCAGGGGAAATAAAGTGACTTGCAATGTCCATTGTGACCTGCAAACATTAATAAAGAAAAGCATATAATACTCCGAGCCGCACAAAAATCCACTGCATCAGGTGCCATTCTAGGCGCTCACCTCAGTGAAGCAAGGTACTAAGTTAAAGTTGCGACACATTTTACAAACAGACAAACAATGTGTTAAAACAATATGACGATAGACTTATTGTATAGCAAAATCTGGCGTGGGCAAAGTGAAGTGTTTTGTTACTGCATCATACTACCTAAATATTGTATATTCTTCTCTTACAATAAATTACTATACCTGAGAGAGAGAGAGACAGAAGAAGAAGAAGAAGAAGACGGAGACTTTGCCTTATAATGGACGCTGGAAAGCTTCTAAGCATATTCTGTCATCACAAAACTGTCAATCCCTTCAATTAAATTTAAAAATATTTCACTTCTACAAAAACAGTCCTTCCATCCTTTCCCTCATCTTCACTTAAAAAAGGGTATAAAGGTCCAAAAGCTTAACTTTTGCAGAGGCATTGCCTTTGCGGAGAAGCACCTCGCCTGAGGCACTCTCCTAATGGTACCGAGGTGATGTCACATCACCTCACACTTAACGAGGCACCAAAGCTACACTATGCCACGCATGGGTACCCCTAGGTGATACCTCCCTTGCATTTGGAACTCTTCAATACCGCACAAAATAGCTGAGTTGTTCAACAGAAGCCAGCCGTCTAAATATGTTGCTTGGAAAAACATAAGTTGCTTGGAACTTCACAATCAAGCTGGGCTGAGAGTGTTCAAACAGAGAACATAGGCTTGAGGTTGCACCGTAGATATTATTTGCATTACGCAAAAAGTTATCCATGTAATTTCTATATATTTGTTAAATAGGGCAACAGATTAAGGCACGATGATATCAGAGGCAAAAAGCAAATGACAACACCAAGCAAACACTCACTTTAGCCCAAAATAAGACTTCACAACTCTCGTTACAGTTCAACTGATATGTTTATTGATATATAAAATCAGTCAATAGAGAGAGAGAGAGACCTTAATAACCTCTGCTTCTGTCAAGGCAGATGCACCTCCAACAATGTCAAAGTCACCCTGTCGATAATTACAGACAGAAAAGCACATAAGACTTGACTTGAGTTTAACCTTTCTTTCTGGGCTTTCTTTTCAAAAGAAAATGAATTCATAAGAGCTTATTACTATGGAACGGTTCATATAAGTACCTGAAGGTAGCGAGTTGGTGGAGAATGACCAACAGCTCTCCTAAAGACATATGAAATTTCATATCGCTTGCATGAAGATTTCTTTATAATTGACAAAAGCACGGTCAGTTTCAAATACTAAATCCAAATCCTGTAGCCATAGGATCTAATAGGCTTGAGAAAATTCCCAAAAATCATCAAAGCAAAAGCATCAAGATAAATTTCAATTCATGTTTAATTATGCTGTACCTGTTCAGAAACAGCATAAATGAAATGACCCCCAGAAGATCACTATGATACAAGTAGAGGGGAATTATTCAAGTTGGAAGTATAGAGCTAGCTGATCATTGACATGCAATTTAGTTTGTCCTCTCTCATGGTGGCTCTGTTACCATGTAAACATTCTAGGATCTTCAAGAGAGAGGGCTAGAAAAAAGATTCAAAGGCTACATCTTTACTGATTTTTTTTAATAAAAGAGTACATAAGATGCCTATATTTATAGAGCATGAGAGACATAAAAACCCTAATCACCTTATTTATGGCCACCAGCTAACTACCAACTGAAATTTACAATTTCCTTTTGCTGGCCTTTCAGTATTGCAAAACTGCAACATTAAAGAAAAATATACCAATATAAAAGTTTCATTCTTCCATTAAATTTTACTTTTTTTTAGTGGTTGAAGGAACAAGGCGTCGTCCGAGGGGAGAGGACAATGACAAACAAACAAACTAAGAACTAAAGTAAGCAAATAAATTACCACCACAACTGGAATTGGCAAAGTTGAGAGCACAACTATAAGGCTAAGAGAACATGCTGAAGGGAAAGAAAGAAGACAATGAATTTTTTCAATGGAGGTAAACAAGATAACTGCGTCCTTTTTGATGAGGATATCATGCAAGTTGATGGAAAAGCATGATTTAAAGCAATGATACCAGAAAACATTGATAACTTCTGTTAAAGAAAATAAGTTGAGTGGAGGGAATTCTTAAGTGATACCTGTTGTGTAACAGCCCAGCTAACAAATGGTAAACGCAGCTCGTAGCAAAGTTCAAGCATATCGCCACCATGTGTTAATACTTTGACAGAACTCCTTGTAAACAAAAACTGAGATAGTCAGGGACAACGGGTTTTCCAAAGAAAAGGAAAGCATGCTAAAAAATTCTCATTGTAAGATGATTAGACCAGGATCACATAAAAAGGAACCTCTTGATCTGCGGAGAATCGTCTACTAAGCGCATAGGAATAATCTCCAAATGCTTTGCACAATGCTGTCTGAAGACTTCCCTCGAGACCTCCATGACATGATCACGTAGTTCAGTGTCAAACTCTGGGTACTGGATAGAGTAATCGTGAAATTTATGCAAATTTAATCCATCCCCATTCTGATGTTTGTCTTTCATCCTCAAGGCTTCATTGTCAAAGATGGAACTCACAACTTTGTCATACACACTTGTATCCTCTGAATTTCGCATCGTACGAAGAATATCTGTTCATATTCATAAAGTATGACATGAGTTAAACATTGTCATAACAGCTCCGGTTTTACAATTATTCGGTATGTCACCAAAAACAAGTTTTCAAGGACAGCCGAGGCCTTGTCTTTCACGCAAGAAGATGCGCATGCATGCATGCATGGTCGTGCACAGGGCACCTACAACATGCAAGTAGCAACGTGTGCCACAAACACACAAAGAAAGTACATATTCGAATACATACAGACAAAGAAAGGACATATTTGCAAGTAGTAACATGTGCCACATGCACACAAAGAAAGGACATATTTGAATACGTACTGTCTAACAATTCATACTCCATCCTTGGTGGGAAGGCATGCTCCAAAAGCTCAGTTGCAGATGGACGCTCAGAAGGACTAGGAGACATCAAGCGCCGCAGTAGGGTAGCTTGCTCTGGAAAGTCAGCAACCCAAAGAGGTGGAAGGTTTCCTTTCTGTTTCAGATCTGAAAGTGTAATATGTCTTTCCATAGCTGTCCCGAATGGGTGCCACAGCTCAAAAAACACAACCCCTAAACTATACATGTCAGCCTGCATTGAATACCGGTCAAGATTTTAAAGATGCAGATAATGCAGGGTGCCAGTAAAGCAGGTGGCAAATCCATCCGAGAACTTGCTTGAATAAGACAGACAAAGTTGGCCACTAAAGTTGGCCAATGTACCTTTTCATCAATTTTTGGCCACCCTTGCTCAATTTCTGGGGCGGTATAGAAATAGGTACCAACTTGACCAGTACCATCAATGGAAACTCCAGTAGTTTCAGTTAGAAAACTGGGTTCCTGATCCAACTGCTCGAGTTTTAAGAATTTTGCTGAAAGCCAACAACGAAATAGACAAAATCAATTCCCTTTTTTTATATGCTCATAAGTCAAAGCTCGAACATCTTATTTTACTTGAGCTCCTGCATTATCTATTACACTGCTATGATCACTAGACACCAAGAACAAATAGGAGGAGGAAAACTAATTCAACCTCACAATGAACTCAAAAATAGATGTCAAATGAGCAGCACGTTTATGTTTCCATACTGCAGAATCTCAATTACTGATATCAGCTGTTAAAGAAGCTAGTTTGAACAGGTATATGGCCCTTACCAAAAAAGGGTTGTTCGACAGGAACATAGCAGTAATCAAAATCACTTCAAATACATCTCTCATTGAACATTTTCCATGCATAAGAAAACCTTATACTGCCTTTTAGGTCAGACCAAAGAAAAATGTAATTGCCAAAACTTACCAAGACCAAAATCTCCAATTTTAATGTCACCACGGGCATCAAAGAAAATGTTATTCGGGGTAAGATCCCGATGGATGATCCCTTGTCCATGTATGTGTCTCAAGCCTTCAACAATTTGGCGAAACAAAAGCCATGCATTTTCCTTGTCAAACTGACATGATTCAAACACCTGGCGAAGAGTCCTACAAGCCAAAAAAGATAAAGGAAGCAATTGCTTACTAGCAGGTAAAATATATCACTCTATACAAAATACATGTGTATCAATCACAAGAGCTCATACATACGTATTTGGACTCAAGCGGAGGGATTTAGAAGAACAACTATAAGGCATAAGTGAGAAAAGAAAACTTCAGATGTATACATGACCTACAGTTGTGTCTTTGTCAAACACAAAACAAGATATTGAAAGATGCATGAAAAACGTGACTCTCATATCTTCATATAATTTCCAACCAAAAGCTTAAGCCATGCGCTGGAAAGAGACTGCATGGATGTTAGGCTATAATAAACCATTGTCAATGATGTGGGATAACACTTAACATGAAAAATGTCCTTTGCACAAAGGTTACGTAGGATTTCGATTCCAATTTGTAGTTTGCTTGCAAGAATAGTTTTGTATGATATTGCCACGTGATAAATGGTGCTAAGGTATCTCAACGGTAATCTAATCAGCAGACAAGATAGATGAAAAAACACCATTGGCAAAACAAAGAAAATTTTGTTTAGATGGCTGAACTGGGAAATGCCACCAACGGAGTGGAAACAATAGGATACCGTAAATGTGTTACACAAGATGAAGAATACATGCCCATGACAAAAAAAGAAAAAAGATGCATCCGAAATAGCAGCACTTATCATTACAAGCATACTTATTTTTCCCAATATTGTACATCTAGCGATATTTGGCCAAAGAAAAATTCTATTTTTTTTTTTAGTCGAAAAAGAAAAATTATGGTTGACTAATAGTTCTATTAGTCAAACATACAAGAACTATACCTAGGGCAGTACTCCATCTGAATGTACAAGTACGTCGATTCTAGTTTGTTATCTTGCCCATAGACGTCAATGGAGCTTGTTTTCCGGTCACTTATAGCGGAGCTTGCTGCAGTCATAGAACCCCAAGCAACATCACAGTGTGAACCAGCAACTCCCGTTTCGAACCATGCCTGGAAGGTTTACAAATCACATTCATATTGAACAATTTACATATTCAGAATTAAAAAAATAAAACCATATATTTTGGATAGAACAGCCATCAGCAACAGAGTTGAAGCATGTTTATATGGATAAGTTCAAATGTTGACAAAGAGTCACGATAGTTTATAACAGCAAAACTGGTTGATCCCCGAGCCTGAAGTAAGAGCAGTAGAGCAGAAAAAAGAAACTCCATGAAAAGGTTACTTATTACCTGGTAGTACCGTACAACATGTTGATGCTGCAGACGTGATAGAGTGGCCACTTCCCTGTTTACCACCAAATTGTTAATGCATATAAATACATCAGAAGAGCACATGAAATCTGGACAGCGAAATTTGTAGCACTACATTGAAAAAATAAAACTAAAAAAAAAAAAAAAGTCACCAAATGTCACACGTTCAATAAACTATACTAACCTACAGAGTAAAAATACTGTGTCGTATATTGATCAACGAATTAGCAAATGCTTGCTATTATTGCCATTTGGCAATGGGAGTCGGAGAACATGAGAAACATAACCACTTTCTTTGCTTGTTCCATTTGCTTAAGCATTTCATGCGACAGTGTTGCCATTCTCCAGATTGGTCATCTATATGTTCCAGGGGGTTAAGTGAGACAATATCACCAAGAAAACCAGTCAACGATGTGCAGTGTTTCCATAATGTACAAGATTTTCCATGGTACATCCTTACACAAGAACCAAAAAGCTCAACTGTACACAACAAGTGTACTGGAATCTGCATAGCTTTTATGAATTGTTTATTGTGCCATTTAGCATCTCATGTTTGGCCAGAGATACAATTACAAACGCCGATCAAGGAATACTACAGAAGCACGTCAACAAATGTGCAAACTACAGCTTCTACATCAAACCTCCCCATCCAATCAATCTTTCTGTTAAGGGAAAAAAGATTGCCAAAGAAGAGAAGATATCAGCATTCTCTAACCACTGGGTGGCAAAGAAAAGACAGACCGTACTCCCCACGGACACATCGTGCAGCTATGCATGTATATAAAACCAGCAATGTTCCCTTACAAGCAGATACTAGTCCCAAGCCATTCCCTCAATGTTTGGTACTAAAAAATAACAATTCATTGTCGGATAATCCTGACTATTAATTTAGAGAAAATAATATCGTTTTATAACTAAGTAGCATATTAGTAGTAAAATACAAAACTAATTGAGTACGTTATGCAAAAATGAGAAGCTCATATCGATATAGGGAAAAGATACCCTGGTAGAGAAGTGCAACTAAACAGAATCAAGCCTTCTCCTGCGTAAATGGACTGTTAAAAACTCGATATGATGAAACAAGAAATAAGAAAATATTCTCTCTTCTATTTGTTTAATTTTAATAGAGTGCATTGGAGAAGAAAGAGCCCGACTAAATATTTATAGGCAACATCAATTGCTACAACAAATTTGACGAATTTGGCAGTGAATTGACAGGTTTTCATGTTGTTCAATCCTCCATAGAGTCAAACAACACTATTGAACACTTAGACCTTAAATTGAATCAAAAGGAGGCCTCCATCATAGACGAGTCTTTCAGTAATTTACATGAGTATCATCAGCTAGCTATCATTAACCTAAAGAAATGGTCTATATAAACTCATTGTCATCCCCTCACAATCCTCTCCACTAGCAATCACAGTAAGCTGATAGGGCACTGATAAAAATAATGATTGGATAAATACTCTACAAACCACATACATTCACACCGAGAACCTCCTTTTCCAAATGCAACTGATACAAAAATGATCTATCCACCGTAATTACAACCAGCTCCCAGCTACAGTGGAAGTGGTTACAGACACCCTTCTGATCTACAATCATTTAAGCACTAACTGTCTATGTAAACAAAGTAACTTACCAGTCCAAAGTCAATCACGTTATTCAGTTAAGAGAACAGTACTTTTATAAAGTCTCCTTCATGGTCAATCAAGTAATCTAGAAACACTCCCCTTATGAAGATTAAAAGATAGTCTGGGTACAACAAAAAGAAATATCATCAAATCCAAGATTAAGTGGTTTTTAACATATTTACTCAAATTATGGCGCAAGTTCTGCATCAATAGAGAAATTTACTCTCAATAAACTTTTCATATATCAGTGAGAAGTTACCTTAATATACGGTCATTCAGAGACAAACTTTTGTCCTTGAGCCGGATTTTCTTCACTGCATATTGCCTACCATCCAATTTATTCTTACTAAGGACAACATGGCCAAAACCCCCATGACCTGTTTCATTAAATGAGAGAGGAAAAGCTAAAATTTTTAAATGAAACAAATTCAAAAGATAAACAAGTAGTCCATTTTCAATCTTTTCTTGACTTGCAAAAAGGGTTTCTTAAAACTATTCTCACTTGAAAAGGGCAGACGCTCGTCAAAGCACGGCAGAAGTAATTAGATAGAACCTGAACAGACAACTGACCTCCAGCTATCAAATATTATCTTGGTCCTTCTTATATTTATGCAGTAGTATAAAAATCCATTTTGACGTCATTATAGAATTCCTCAAATGGCACAAGTTACTATAAGCGAAGTTACTACACTATTTGCATTGTCCGAGCCTAACAATGTCTCCGTTGCAAAATTTGCAGTGTCCTTCCTCCCTCCCTCCCTCCCCACTTATCAATTATTTGTACTCTTGACCAAGTAGGCCTACCAGTATGACCAAAATTTTCTTATTTGTAAAGGATCAAAAGTGGGCCAGATGTCATAATGGATTAGTACTTGCCCTGCCTCCCTCATCATTGATTGTAAATCTAGCTATGCACATGAAAGAGCTTCCGAAGCTTAAGGAGTGTGAACATGTAATTTAAAATGGAAAGAATGGGCAACCAGTAAGATAACATTTGCCCGACATGGATTGCCTAACAAGATCATGGTCAAGAAGGGATATCCTTGGGATTTTTATATCAACTCTGAATTGAACTAGTAAAGCTCTAATCCGAATGTATCCCTTCACGTCGTCTAGAATGCATGTTTCAATAGGCATATATGACACTACTATACAGTGCTTCCAAATATCTGTGTGCTCCATGGGAAAAAAGAAAATTGAGGCAGTAATTCTCATACCAAACAAGAGAAACAGTTGCAAGCGAATCATGCATAGTAACAAAATGACTGGAAAAAGTGATTAGCCACCAATTTATAAAGAGATGAAAGTAGCCAAATCAAACAGTAATAACTCTGCTGTTACTCACCGTGTTTTCTAATGTAACCTCATACTTCAAAATCTTTTGCTAGGTACTATATTGTTGCAATTTACTTCATGACATTCAAATTATGTGTAGATTTAAGACGAAAAGTCATGAAGGTAATATCTTACCAAGAGTCTGAAGCTCCTCGAAGTCATTGAGATAGCGGGAACTTGGAGGAGGTGTACTGGGCTGCACTATATCAGCTGTAGGCTTCCAAAACTGAGAAACTTTTGATGAAGTCTGCAGAACAAACAAAACGACGGATTACATAAAATACTCTGAATAATCTGTCGAATAATAGGAGATGAAACAGCGGAGAGAGAAAGAGAGGCTGACCGTATGCTGCTGAAAAGCATGGTCAAAAGTTCTCCTAAACAGTGAGGACTGTTTTAACGCCAAATCATGTACCCAATCAGAAAGAATCTGAACAAAACCACCAAAAAGCATAGTTTAGTCAGTGGACCAATAACGTTATAAAGTCAAAAAGCAACTTAATCACATACTCCTAGATTGTACAGTTCCAAGGCTATTTGAGGGAAAGCATCAGACAATGGCCCTTTGGAAGCACAAGCGAGACGAAGGAGATGAACCTGCAACATAAATAGATATGCAAAATACTTTGATTTGATCTAATTACAAAGTAAGGAAAACCATTAAACAATGGAGCAGAAAACAACACCAGTATCAGATCTTTCTTGACAATTTGAGGTGCTTGATGATGAATCATGGACTCAGATGACAGGCCATCAGAATGAACATGATCGTGATCATCGTCCACATCATCAAAATTATGGCCACTGCTGTCGTCGTCGTCGTCATCGTCATCATTATTGCCATCTTCATAGCCAACATCAGATGCGTCTTCCTGGAAAACCGCATTCTGTGTCAACATGCATTTTTTTATGTTTCATTCACGGTAACCAGGAAAGGATATAGTAAATAGGCTCCAAGTCGATGTATTAAAAACTACAAGGCAGGAATTATTTTCTGTTCATTAAGATTGGTTAAAAGATATCAAGGAAAGGAAATATTTTACTTCCGCATATTTGTGCAACCAAAAATGAGATTCTTTACCTCCATGCCTCTAAAACTAAATTGTACAAACTTCTCCATTATTTCTTCACTCGAAGAGGAAGTAGATATACTCTTCTCATCATCATCATTTTCTTCTTCAAGCTTTTCCAAATTGCTAGTAGGGACAAGCACAGATGGTTGCCTCTTATCTAGCACTGTTTGTGGCTTTAACCCTTTATTAAGCTTCTTATCCGGAAGCTCATATTGAAATTTTGAAACTCCTGATGCATGCAACTGTACAGAAGTATGTTTCTCGCTTCTCTGATCCATACTCAGACCCCAATGCCATGACTCTCCGGAGCTACCAAAGAGGTCTACAAAACCATATACAAAGGGTCCTCTGGAAGAGCCACCTTTGTCCAAGGAAGCTGCCATGTCCTTCTGAAACAACGAGCCATTGTCATCCTTGGTCAAGCAGGGCACCTTCAGAAAAAGGGCAGGACAAAACCACTCAATATGGTTTAACATAAGAACAAAATTGTCCGCAAGTTTTCCACACCAGTATCATCATCAACATTAAAATTGGTGAAATAAAGGAAAATTATCCAATCAAAAGTTTAACCAGAATTAGGTCCACAAAGAGCAGACATTAAGACACAAAAAGTACTCATTAAAGGTACAAGAGTGCAAGTTTTCCACACCAGTATCATCATCAACATTAGAATTGGTGAAATGAAGGAAAATTATACAATCAAAAGTTTAACCAGAATTAGGTCCACAAAGAGCAGACATTAAGACACAAAAAGTAGTCATTAAAGGTACAAGAGTGCACGCCAATTTTACATGTCACAATCACAAAGACTAAGCATACTTGTTTATGAACAAATTACACAATAGCAATAACAGATCAATTAAGGAAACACCTGATGCTAGATGACCTCCAAAAGCTGCTTACGAGATATAAACTGTGCATGTAGATTTTGCCTACCCCTCAAGTAAGGAAGAGTTAAGTAGACCATTCAAACTCATACAAGTCATCTACCAACTGTCGAAAACTATTAGAGAGGATGCTGAGCGCTAACCACTTCAATTCAACTCCATTAGACCCACTAGCTTACTGTGCTGACAAGTTTACTCTCACCTCCATAAGAAGAGTGTTAGAAAGTCCAACCCAAAAGCTTAAGTTAATAGGTGGAGGGAGACCACATGAATATAAAGAGCATTTAGGACCCATTGTCAAGCAATGTGATACAATACTTCAACAAAGAGCCATGGCAACTATGGCATTAAGAAGACTGCATATTTGAATTTTTCAAAAAAAGGGGACAATATAGCATATTTTATGAAATACAATCCATTGGAATATCTCATGTATTCAATATTAAATTGACATTAAGAGCAATGAAGGATGACAGTTGACAAGGTTAATTTGAGAAAAATACCAATTGAAACTTACAGAGACAACCATCAAGAGCGAGACTATACAAAGACCATAAATAGTTTCAAAATTTATCAATACTAACGAAAACAGTATGCTTGCTCAAGGGAACAATATTCTTAGTAAAATTTGAAAATTCTATTTTATAATAACTTGAAAGAAAGAGAAAATCAATAAACTAGATTGCTTAAATATTTCTTAACCAACACAAAAAGAAGTTGCTAAAGAAAATGGAAACTTCATCCAAATTAAAAAAAATTAGAGATCTTCAAGAAAAAATATTTGGTTTTATACAACCTGATTCATGAAATATGTTTAGTCTAAAATAGGAATAAAAATGGAAAGTCCTTTATATGTTTGAATCTACAGAGAGAAAATATTCTTTATTTTTCATTGTGGTACAAAACCTCATATTTATTAGCTCATTGATTAGCAAGTTTCAGGCATTTGTTTTGGAGATGTGACTGTAGTCTGTACCTAGATAATTGAAGAGTGGACAGGCATCCTCCATAATTTGATTTTAAACAACTTTGCCAAAATTTGACCATCTCAAAAGTTTAAAAAAAATCTATACATAAAAAGGTTTCCCTCAAGCTACCGTCTTTTAACTGAAAAGTTTGAAAAGGAAGCTGAAGCATTGACTGAAACAGAAAAAGTTCTAAACAGAAACTTCCATTTTGGAAACATGAATGGATCCAGCATGCATATGTACGTGTAAAGTATCTCAAATTGCTTGTCCATGGGCTTTATATAGGCCTTGTGTATGTGTGCGTGTGTGCGTGTGTGTGGGGTCTCCCTCCACCAAAAAACTAAAATTTTTTAACAGAACTTTTTATCATGGCATTAGCAGCTAGGTTCAAGCCTTACTTTATTTTGCACGCCTATGGGTCCCAGTTCATCAATTCTACGTGCCTCTCTTCCTCAGATTGACACATGAGAGGGAATTTTAAAATATCACACATCGCTTGTCTACGAGATTTATACAGATCTCATATACGTATAGTCTCCCTCCACCTAAAAGCTTAAAACTTTTTGGTTGGAAATTCTAACAGTATTTAAAGCAATACCTTTCATCCAAAAAGTGAGCGATTCTTGCATCAACTGTTTCCATGTACAAGACGCCATCATGGTGGTAAAATCTTGCATAAGCACCGCATTCAACAACAATGACACATGCTACGAGGACCAGGTCTTCCTAATTATTTTCATGAGTTCTCCCTATTATAGAATTTGTTTTTGCACAAATTTCAATAAAATTAATAGTCTTCCAATGATAGCCTTGAATCATATAAAAGTTTAAAAAGGAAACAGCATATTAAGGGTGCACAGACTCTGTTATATAGCTACAGCCATCACTTTAATGAAGAATTCTTTCCCACCTTTCACAAACATCACATATCGTCCCCTCCTTGGACACTATTAGAAAAAAATGAATTTGTTTTCACATACAGGTTTAAGGCTGCATATGCTGATGAAAGCACATAAAAAGTTACTTTCACACCGTTGACAAATTAAGGGCAAAGAAAATACACTGTAATTTTTATCCTGTCAAACAAGGTCCTTGCCATACAACAAATGGTTCTTTCAAAAATAGGTCAGAAGAGGATGAAAAGGACGGATCAAACTTACTGCAAAAAATAGACCTCACAAAAGTGAAAATTCCGCCATAGCTGTATTAAAATCATGAACTGCACTACATCAAAAGAGTCTTCAAGCATACCGATTTGTGTGCTTGGCTTAGTGGGACAATCTCAGACAGAAACTCTTGAGCAGCCTCCACCAAATTGAAAATCATTACGCGTCCTTCGCGAGCATTAGAATTTGCCTGAATACAAAAGGGAGTGATGATTAAGAAAACACATCGTACTCAAAGTCTCCACATGCTGAACATGACATAATGCAAAGTCATGTTTTAGACCAGCAGAGTAGACAGTCTTGCATTTTTCTCCATTCCTTTATAACTTTAAACACTTCCTCAGACACTGCCCTATAAAGTTCATCTATGTTATCAGGTAGAAATGACCCCAAATGGTATTTAACTGAAAGAAACAATATTTAACCCTGGTTTAGCTGATCAATCGCTAGTAAGTCCATGCAACTTCATATGTACATACATCAAATTTCTGCACAAAAAGATAGCATTCTTGAAATATAGGCACGTATTATGTCCAGTGCCTGTTTCATCTCAACTGCAATAAATTTGACAATATCCGGGAAGGGCATATGACAAATCTGCAAAGCTAGCTGGAAGGCGAACAAAGATAAAATATACATAATCCGGAGGCACCCCCCCCCCCCCCCCTCCCTCCCCAATCTGACTATCTAGTCTAACTATGAGCTAAAAGGGGAAGATTCATGTTTTTGTTCCTTCATTGCATTTTCTCAATGTGATCCAAACTAATTACTTTTCACTTCGGTGGTGAAACTTATAGAACTTTTTAAAGTAGGTTCCTCCCATGAAACTTTCAACCACATTTGTATGTGCCGATGCTAAAGGGAGTCGTCCACTTTTACTTTCAGGGATGAATTTGTTGAAAAATCAGCAGATATTTTGGTATCATTAGTCGATCAATAAAATTCCGTACTCAGGATATATACGATGGTGCCATTACTTAAGCCCAAGGGAAAATTTTACAGCAACAACAAACTAGTCGGTTGAGACTGACAGGAACTTCATGAGGGAGAAGCTAGACGGTTTGCTCATTCTTGTACGCCTTGTGAAGTCCATAGACTAGTTAGCAGATATTTTCAAAACGGGATTGAGAAGAATCATGTTATACTTCCGTATTTGCAATATGGGGATGATTGATATCCGTGCTCCTTGAGGGGGAATGTTAACAGTTCTCCAGTGGCAAACTTGTGATGCTCTGTAGAGACAAGTCTCTTGTGTCTAGTTTTGTGCCGGGGTGGTACCCCCTTGGTACCCTCTTGATATTCCTGTTATTGTGTTTATGTGTAAGTTGATATAGTTATGCCTGCATTTTATATAATAAATGAAAGATCCGACCTACATACGAGTGGGAATGTCTGTGGGCTTGTTCCCACACAGCTTAAGCTTTTGGGGAAAAACAAATTGTCTAGTACCTCCCAATCAACCCCCAACCAGAAATGGAATATGGAAAGGCGAAGGAAGACCTCTTGAGAATGGTTGTATAAAACCAAGAACCAGTTCATACCAGCTCGTGTAGGAGAGAGAGAAGCTTATATGCGTCAGCTTCGGATAAACCTTCCTCAGGTATGATCTGCAACTTCGGACACTTGTAAGGATACCCGGGTAAGCACCTATATTAGAAAAAACATAAACGGAGAGCAGAAGCATAATAATCGACGCCAATAGAGATAGTGTTAGAACCAAATTTAGAGGCACTGACCTTACAAAAAGAAGGGCTGACACATCCAGATCATCATAACCCATGTCTTTTGAGTAAGGCCTGAATCATTCCAGCTAAACATATCCGTAACCACGACAGATAATCAAAACCCACGCGATTAACAGAGCACTCACTAAGAAGAAACCTGAGCTTAATAATGATCTTCGGAGGGGTTTCTGCAACTTTGCAATCTTCCTGAAATATCGCACACCTGGACGTTGCACGCTACTAACTTCAGTAATTACAAAACAGAAAGGTAACAAGCTTCCGCTGTTTGTTTGCTACAAGCCATCAACTAAGCCAACCCGACGCGCGCACGATAACTAAAACGAAGCAGCATTATACTTCATAGACCCCACAAATAGCAGAGCAGAACAAACAAGACCTGAGAGCATGTGCCCCTGCTGAAACTCACAAACTCAAAACCTTTGAAGCAGATAAATCGCCAGGAGTGTGAAAAACCCGACCGGCATTAAAGAAAGAGCATGCGGAATCACTGTCGAAGCGACAGAAAGCCAACTCACAGGGCAGTGATTTCCTCGGCGAGGAGCTCATTGTCCTCGTCGGCATGCTTGTCCTTGGAAGGAGTCCTCCCCTTGCTCCTCTTCCCTCCTTTTTTCTTCTTCTTCGAGCCCTGACCCATTCGAGCTCACTCCGATCCCCGCCCACCACTCCTCGGAACCAGCACCGCTCGCACGCCTCCGGAGCTGGATTGCTCCGTCGATGGAGCGATGCGATCGGAAACCCGTGAATCAGCGAAGAAGAGTGTGTGATGATGGATGGATTCGAGCGACGAGGTCGTGCGATGCTTCGGAGATGCGGCAGAGTGATCGTGGGAATCGAAGCGAAGCGGAGGGAGCGATTGGGAATCGCTCGCACGGTGGTGGAGAGGAAACGAGAACTGGGTCTCTGCAAGGAAAACACGGGCAGGGAAGCAGCAGAAGAAGAAGCTGACGCAGTCACGCAGGTGGCGCTGAATCCATTGGATTTTTTTGAACAGAGAAAAATGACTTTCGTTAATATTCTCTTTTTTACCTTAATGATAAAGCACGATACACGGGTTAATTCCAAAAAAAAAAAGCACCGATTTTAGGTCAAGGGACAATTTTGGTCCGAACTTTTTTTTGTTTCATAAAAAAACATCAACTTTAGGTCGAGGGACAACTATGGCCCGAACTTTTTTTTGTCCCGTAAAAAAACACCAACTTTAGGTCGATCGACAATTCTGGCCCGAACTTTTTTTTGTCTCGTAAAAAAGCACAAACTTTCACTTAAATCCCAAATCTGGCCCTTATTGACTTAAAATAATTGATTTTTCAACTTGACTATTCCATCTTAGCAATAAATTCACGTGACTTGCTGACTGGATTTAAAGCATTATTTATTGTCTTATTCTCTGAACCACAGCTTGAAGAATAATGGTGAAACTGTTTGTCTCCTTCACTTCACCGGCAAGTCAAAAATATATCCAAATTGAATCTTTCTAGCCAAACTTCGTCGTTTTGTCGTAATCTAAAGCTGTAGACCACCGCCCATCGACAGACGCCATGGAAGAGATTCGCCAGGCTCACCACCATAACTTTTTTTCTCAAACAAGGATAACTTCAGACAGAAAGTCAATGGGGGGCCAAATTTGGGATTTAAATGAAAGTTGGTGCTTTTTTACGAGACAAAAAAAAGTTCGGGCCAGAATTGTCCCTCGACCTAAAGTTGATGTTTTTTTATGGGACAAAAAAAAGTTCGGGCCAGAATTGTCTCTCGACCTAAAGTTAGTGCTTTTTTTTTTAATTAACCCTACGATACACTGAGCTTTTAATTTATTTAATATCATTCTTGAATTTTAGTTACGAATTCAATTTAGCCTCTGAACTATATAAAATTATTCAATATTGTCCTTCATTTAACTCAATTTCAGGGACAATAGTGAATATTTTCGCATAATTCAATAAATAGATTGAACGTGCACCAAAATTTCAGAGATCATATTCAACATATTAAAAGTTTATAGATGACATTGCACATTGGGTTACGAATTAAAAGTTCCAGGACTACGTCACACAAATATATCCAATGAATCTGATTTTGTTGTAGTGGAATGACTTATGTGTAGAAAGAGTTAGTGGTACAGAGCAAAAAATCACCGGTGTCGGGAGGCGACAATTCAAATTTCTTTTGGTATCGTTTTTACTGGGTATAGTATTGTCTTCCCATTCACCAATTGGCAATCGAGATTTTGCAGTCTATCAAATCATAACGGAGCATAATTAACGAAATGCGGACTGTCTCTTTTTAGAACTGGCAATTGTAAATTCAGTTCAACTTCCTCTCCATTCCTGTACCTCACTTAGGGTGCATTTGTTTTAAGGAAAAGTGTTTTCCGGAAATCCGTTTTCCAAACTTTCACTCGTTTGGTTCGTCGAAAATAATTAGTCAACCGAAAACACTTTCCGGTCAAGGAAAATATTCGGATATAAAATTAGAAAAGTGAATTTTTTAATCTAAGAAGGTGAAAACACTTTCCAAAATTACTCATCTTGAATTTGTCAATTTTTATATTTCCTTTTTTCTTTTCTTTCTTTCTTTCTTTTCTTTTTTCTTTTATTTTTCCTTCTACCTACTTCCGCCGGTTGCTGGCCTTTGCGATGGCCGGCGACCAGCCACAAGCATGAGCCGACAACAGCCGACCTCAGGCGAGGCCGAGCTCGCCGGCCTTGGGTGAGGCCTGACGTCGCCGTGGCGAGGCCGGCGAGGCTTTAGCTCGTTATACACTTGTGCATTATTCCCGATTTAATCATAAGTATCCCTAGTATCTCTTACGACGGTACAAGGTCTGCACCACCATATGTACATTCGTGGCATTGGATGATATCATCAAGAAATGTCTTGTCCTGGGGGTTGGCCAAGGGACATGCCGTATTCATTTCCTATTGCATTTGGCTATTGAGCTGTTGGTATTCTTGCTCACAAGACCGAATTAGGGTGCGGTCCTTGGTGTTAGTCGTAGTGACGAGTAACTCAGATTTTGTTGTAATGCCAACAATTACTAATTACATAAAAGTTGTTATTATTAATGTGGAAGACTTATGAACTATGTTACGGGTTTCTTTCGATCGTGAAAATTCTATTAATCGGGATGGAAATTATTACTTGGTACAACTATATACACAATTCTCTAAGTAAATTTACCAATCACGCGGAACATATCACTTACTAGTCAAGGAGTGGATGGCTTGCATAAACTGCAATGGATACACAATGCATGAGCTGAAAATCACGAGAAAAATCCGACTCTTTTTTTGCCGGGACAGATCCCTTTAAAAAAATTTGATTCTCAAAATAAACATCTCCTAAAACTAATTTGCAAATTAGATTTCTCATCGTCACATCATGCCTAAACATTGCCTAGTCATTCAAGTCACTTTTACATCTCCCTTCAAAGTTTTTCAAAAATAATTTGATCTTTGAATAAAACAATATGCATATCTCTTAAAAAAAATTCTTGAAAGTCTTAGAATAGGCCCGAACCGGCCCGAGCGATTCAAAGTTTTGGTCCGACCTATTTGGAGGAATTGGGCCGGTCCAAGTTTTTAGGCCCGAACCGGTCCGTGAATAAGCCCTCTATTGCACACGCTTGACAGGGACAACCCGAAAAGCTCCCCTGCCTTCAGCTTCGCCGCCCCTTCGCCGCCCAGCAACCGTCGTGCGCCGTCGGAGGTTAGCTTTTGGATTTCGCCGTCTCCGCCGTCTCTTCCTCTGTCAACCAGGTTTCGCCTCGCGCAACGCCTCTGAAGCTCTCTCTCTCTCTCTCTCTCTCCATTGCATGCCGAGTATTATTTCTCCTTCCCTAGGATTTTCATGCATCGGCACGTAGTATGTCAGCCCATCATCGACAAATTCGGCTTCGTTGCTCTAGAATTGGAAGAGGGCTTGGCTCGATTTGACGAATTTTTTAGTGTGCGAAACCTGCATCACGGATGTTGTAGGTTTGACGGTGAGCGACGTGTTCAATGTTTCTTTTGTTGGCTCTGAATGCTTTAGGTTCAGCAGCTGTGTCCATTTGCGTTTGGATGAATTTGGCTTATTGACATGGTGAGAGGCAACGCGCAAGGATGAGAGATCGGGGGTTTGAAGCGAATCCTATTCTTTTCCTCTTAGGTTATTCGGGATGAGGGGGTTCCTCTGTTTTGTTGCACGGGTCTTTTTAATCAGATAAGAACTGCATTTCTCTTTTACTGATTGATCAGTAAAAGAGAAATTGGGGTTTATTGGGCCATCTCTTACTGGATTCACTAAGGGTTCCTGCTAGTACTAGTTCTTAATTTCTGTTATGGTCTCTTTTCCCTGAATTGTGCCTTTTATGGATGTGAAAGAGATTGGGGTTTACATGTTCATTCTCGTGTTATGTGATCGTGGCGGAACTTCTTTGTGTTCTAGGTGCAAGCTTTTCGTGCGAAATGTATCTTGTGTATTTATGGTTGGCTAGGGCTAAATCATCTCCCCTTGCCAAACAGTAGCATTTGCGTCTTTACAAGTGGTGTTCTGAACAGATGATCTGCAGCAGCAGCAGCATACGAGTTTTGGAAAGGTGCCCAGAAGGTCCATGTGCTGCTGCTGCGCATCACATGATCATTGCCTTCCCAGCATCAGCGTTGTTGCTGTACATCTCCTTTCTAACAAATAAAAAATGTAGTGGGTTTTTCCTTAGCACATCTTTCATTCACTGCGTGTAGTTAATAATCATATGCGACAACACGAAATCTTCTCGCACGCCAAATGAGTAGCACATGCATCTTTACAAGTGGTGTTTTGGTGCTGTGTTGCTGACACAGTCCCCGCATCAGATGCTGTGCAGCACCAAAATAGGACTAGGTTTTGGTTAGGAGCTTTATCACATAAGAAGAAACTGCTGTCCAGGAGTGATGTTGAACTTGTATATCACATCATGCACTGATGCGCCTTATTCTTCACAAAATCTGGAGCTAAAGCCAATACCTTCTGCTGATAAATCTTTAGTTTGTTGCCAACCTGTTATTGAGCCTTTTAATCTTCTGTTTAGATTGCATGGCGGGCACTGTGGAGACAGAGTATGCTGCTTTCCTGGAGAAGGTGAAACGGACTGTCTATGTTGACAGCCTATCACCCCAGGTCACTGAACCTGTCTTGAGGACTGCTCTCGACCAGTTTGGAACGGTCAAGAGTGTTCAATTCATCACGAACTACATAAAGCCGGAGAACATCCCAAAACGTGCTCTCGTTGAGATGGAAGATGAGGAGCAGGCAAAAGCAATTGTGAATCTGGTTGCTAATTGCCCGCTGATGATATCTGGGATGCCGAGGCCTGTGAAAGCTTGCGCTGCTAAATTGGAGATGTTTGAGGATCGCCCAGCAAAGCCTGGTAGGAAAATAGAGGTCCGCTGGTTGGATCGAAATGATCCTGACTTTGAGGTAGCTCAGGAGTGGAAGCATCTTGATAAAAGGCATGCTGCTGAAGCTCGATATTTGCTAAAAGTAAGTTTCTTTATAAGTGGTTAGTAAATAAATGGAATTTCAATCATATGGGTGATTTCACTTACAAAATTCTCAAAAAGAACTTAAGATTAAGAAAAATTGCTATGTGACACACCCCTTACATGGCAGAGAATCCCATTCACTCTGTGAGAACTCATGTCCGTCAGTGCTGCTTTAACTTTTGCATTATGATTGGTATCTTACCAGGGAAATAACTTCTAGAAAATCTCTCTAATCGGGTTTGTATTTCTACCTTCTCAGCTGCAAATGGCAAAAGAAGAGAAGCTTGCTAAGCAGCAGGAAGACAATCTTAAGGCGAACTTCGCAAAATACGAAATGATCGAGGCCATCATGGCTGATGGAACTGCTGAGCGTTTAGCTCAACGTTATGAAATGAACCTCAGGGACGAGTTGTAAATGTCTGTCTTCTCTAACTTTTGCCTCATGGCCAGTAAATGACTTTGTAAAGAAACGAGGATGCTCAGTCTTCATCTATAGACTAGTGTATGAGGCTGACTTGGGAAGAAATTCCTAAAGCCGCACGGGTAAAGAAACGCTAGATCAACCGGCCTGTGACGTTAGGAATTAGGGAGTGTTTACCGAAGCATCCCGAGGGCATTGAAGCTGATGCTTCTTCTACAGCCCTTTCATCTCCTCGTGTTTGAATTTTGACTTGAATGGCTGTTGCTGTTGGTGCTACTCCGTTTCCCGAATACCAATTTAGAGTCGGAACGTTAGAGCAGGTGAAATAGTGGTCGGATGGGGAATACGTACGAGAATTGTCATCTCTAGTTTTCAATTAACCTAGAATAGGCAGTATCATTTAAGATTTAGGTGACATCTATATTAACAAGATTTAGTTTCAGATGATGTACTGTCCGGATGAGTAAGGGCCAGCATGGTAATACATCCATAGCTGAGGAGTGTTGAACACGATACTGAGGAAAACTTTAAACGAGAACCCAATGAGTTATATTGTAGTTCTTCCAAAGTTTGACTGCGCTTATTATAAATAATTTGTAATAAATCCCTCATCAATGAAATAATTTACTAATCTTATGGACTAGATAAGATGTGAGTCGAGACCACGACGGATGGCCCAAATGTGAATTAACCAACGCAAGAACACAAATAAGATGATGAAAAGTGGCTATGCCTTTCGGAGGAGGACGTGTAAAAAAGGGGTGACAACTCGTCAATTTCAAGTTACATAGATTCTTTTTTCTTAATTTCTCCCCACACAAAGTTAAATCTAACTCTTCCCGCGATTATATATTGGGTTTCGGATTATTTAGATTTGAGAAAGTGGGTTCGGCTTAGTTCCATAAGACGAGTAATGATCCATTATGTGGACTGTTGGCGAACTAGCTTGGTGTCCTAGTTCCTTGAAATTTGACTGTCTGCATCCTTGTTTTGCGCCAAAGGTCAGACTTTGGTCTGAAACCACCCTCTTCGGGAAATAAGTAAAAGCAGACATGTCCACTCTTCTTCATGACTATCCCGTGCGGATATTGAGAAAGAATGTGCTTTTTCGAGACTCACAGTGTGAATGTTACTGATGAAGTGATTGACTTGATATGGTAAAAGCCCCAAGGACAATTTCATTTTTCGGAAAATGCACATTCTATGCTCACTTACCGCGCTAGATTGTCGCAGATCGATGCCATCGAAACTCTAGACACCCCAAATAGGCGAACACGAATCGACAATGGTATTCGAGGTTCTGATATATAGTCAAATCTGTTCTACGAGGTGTTGTTCCCATATGTAAACTTCCGTATCATATTTCTCTTTCCATAAGAACCTTTTTCGTTAATGTCGTCAAAAGTTGGGCAGAGGAGTGGAACTAAAAAAGGAGATTTGTGATTTTCTTTTACCTTATTGTTGCCAGTGGCCATTCAAAACGCACTACACTGCCCCATCATCTATACAAAAGTTTCACTCATTCATCCTAGCCCCGCCAGAATGGCCGTCCTGCATTTACTCATGGTTCTTTCATTTCTGAGCACCCGCGATTTGCTCGATGCCCGTCATCTGCTAGATACAACCCCATCCCCTACGCTGGAAACATCAATTAAACTGGCTTCTCCACCATCGTCATCATCACCTACTTCGGTGGCCATGTCACCCCTACCATTGCCTCTTTCGGGCTCGCCGACCTTATCATCTACTCCAATTGCCACATTACCATCATCATCACCCGCTATCCAGCCCTCTTTGCCTACTTCCGGCTCGTTAAACTCGCCATCCACTTCAGTGGGCGCATTCCCAAGTTTCGCACCTGGTGCCCAACCATCTTTGCTGGGCTCGACATTTCCTCCTATCTCTAGCTCACCTATTCTGTCATCTTCCCCAGCAGCCATGTCACCATCTCCCTTACCAGACATCCAACCATCTCCACTCCTACCAGGACTGAGTTTGAGTTCTTCGACTTTATCATCTGCTCCAAAGGCCACATTACCATCTATCCCGGGTTCAACATTGCTTCTGCCATCAAGCTCGCCATCCTTAATGTCTTTGCCAGGGCCGACTTTGCCTTCGTTCTCTAGCTCACCAACCTCATCAATATCCACCCCAATCACCTCCTCGCAGCCTTCCTCGTCCATCACCCAGCCATCTTTTCCAGGGATGACAGTATCACCACCCTCCAGCTCGTCAAACCCACTCAGCACCTTGCCTTTTACTGTTGGTCGACCATCCACTCCAATATCTCTTTCAATCGGCACTTCTGGTTCTGGCTTACTTTCAACTGCTTTCCCACCACTTCACCACCAGTAACACAATGTCCTAACCTAACAACAGCCAACCAGCATTTCCTCTCCATCATTCTCTGTCCCATGGGTTTCCCCTCTGCGACACACTTACTTCAACTGTCAAATCTCTATTATCTCACCATGCTGCTAGTAAAACTTTGGTAACGGACTAATATATCATATTACTATGACTGAGGGCCACAAGTACTGCACCTCTTTGTGCCTTGCAAGTTGAGTGAAAAGTCACTATTGACAGGCGCACAGGACAAATCTTACAGTTCACAATACCAAGTAAAAAAAAAGTACGCACAGGAGCGTATACATGAGGAGCATGATGCGTTTACTATTCATGATTAATCATATATTGTGTTTAAGATGTACTCATGTCTCATTAGTTTTTTATATTTGCTAAGTAGCTCTATTCCCCAGGTAATTTTATTTTAAAACATGTCTTGCAAACATGTCATGCCTTACGTGTACTGATTACTGATGACAGAACCACCATTTAATATGAGTTTGTGGAGTTAACTTTAGCTGAGACAGAATATTGACTAGCAAAATCCTCCTACTCTTGCAAATTCTGATAACAAATTTTCAAATTAATTGTGTCTGAATGGCTAGAAATATTAGAACTAATCGAAAGCACACTTCACTTCCAATAATTCATCTAGACCATCGGTGCTTAAGAATCAATTAAGAAATCTCACTCCAAAAGGGCAATCCCTTTATGAAACTCCTACCCTAGAAATATACTCAGTATACATGAAACTCCCTTCATGTATTCTTTAGTGTTGCAGAATATTTCCAGTTGAATTAGCAGGCCCTGTATAGCTCATAGCAGGTGAAGATTTACTCGTAAATATTAATTCGACAACAACTCTCAACTGCTGCAAGTTTATCAATGACGACATTGAGAGAGCAGAAATCCAAAAAAAAAATTCTACTGAATCTTACATCAGCAAAATAATCCGGCTTCATATATTCATAAAATCAGTTGAAACTCTTGAATCACATCTTTTCAACAGAGAGACATTATTGAGGGCCATGACTTCTGTTGATTACTACATATATCAGATGGGTATATAACATCTGAAAGATCTTAATTGATGCTCGGATTTCGTACCACCTTTTTTACATTAGCAAGAACATAGGTGTGACAACTTTGATTCTATCTGTAATGCAACAAAAGTAAAGCTCACAAAAGAGCTTTTTCTAAAGTATGGTCAATGAATCATTTGGCAAAACAGAGGTATGCATCGCATGCTTACACGGCATCTATAAAAGATATATCCACAAAAAGATATTGCATGCCATGCTGTTGTCTGGCATTCTCCAGGCTGTGTGCAATTTCTTGGCATCCTTCTTTGCTTGCTCCAGAAAATTAAGTTCAGAATTTGAGGAATCTGAAATGGAAGTGTGGCAATATTACATACCATTAAGTGCATAGAACATGGCACGAGAATCGACAAAATATTCTAAAATTTCAATTTGCTCAGAGATAGAGAATTTATGAGAAGGGTCTTGTTCATGAATGCTCCCGGGGCACAATTGACCAGAACTAAAAAATAAATATTTTCATCTTCAATGCATTCATTACACATAACACAAGAAAACCACTGCTTTGGAAATGATAAATTTTCTTTATTGAGATGTATAACAAGTGCCCTTAACAAAATCCTATGAGAATAGGAGTTCAGTAAATACCATTTCTTAGCCACCTATATGTACCATCGGCCTATTCGCAGTCTTCGCAATGTCAAACATTCCAGCATGCGCAGCTTTCTTTCTTTTGACCTAAAGCAAAGAAGTGTGCGACGTCGATCAGAAGCCAGTAGTATAAATCTAATTTAGACAAAGCAACACAGCCTTCTGTGGTTTGTCATGCCTCAAATCAAAAAGAGAAGAAAGGAGAAGAAACAAAAAATGCCAGGCAGTGCCCACAAAGAACAGAATATTAAAAAAACCCGAAGTTGTAGAAAAACTGTTGGCTTATGCAAATAATCTAGGACAGTGTGAAGACCATGGAATCATGAGAGGCAAACTGCGTACCGCTGAACTAATTATTTCCCTGAGCTCGTCTTCCTCAGCACCGGCACGAAGGGGATCTCTTAAGCTAACCTGCAGACAGCAAAGAAGTGCAAAAGGATATTAAATATCAGTCGGAAGGTAACAGCTCTAACACATTTAACGGCTAATATGACAGCATAATGTGTGTGTGTGTGTTTTTTTTTTAGGGGAGGGGAGCATTAACTATGAATTGACGCAACAACAAAGGTTTACAGTGCTTGAGCCATCTCAATGTCCATCTCAACACATAAAGAGATAAAGAAGAAAATTTTTTAGAAAGATATAAGACTATACTCCCACAAGCTAAAATGAATGCCACGTGTAATTATAATAGAATTTAACAAGCAGGAGATGCAATTCACCTCTGAGGGCCCAAATAAGCATACTTTGAAGTTCCCGTCAGCTAAAAGTCGCAATCTATTGCAACCAGCACAAAAATGCTCAGTCATTGACGTGATGAAAGAAACCGTACCGTGATGCCCATCTATCCTGTAATTCTTGGCTGTTTCTGAAGGGTGATCCTGAATTCTCTGAAGGCCTTGATATTTCACAACCTGTTCAGAGAGGACAGCATACTCAGAGCCTGTCTGAGAGGCTAAGAGAAAATTCATGTGCTGTATCACGTGTATTTTACCTTACCACTTTATCTAGCATTTCATAGTATGGCACTAGTTTCTTCACATTCCAAACGTTTCCATCGAAAGGCATGAACTCAATAAATCGCACATTAATTGGTCTACTTCGAGTCAACTCCACAAAATCACATATCTCATCATCATTGACGCCACGCATAACAACACAGTTCACCTGGAGTAAACCACTGGGCTAGTCAAAAACTGATTGCGGAGAAAAACATAACCTAACAATCGTTGATTTTCAAATTCTATTCTCGGTAAGAAAATGAACTGAGCTGGAGAAGATGAATACTTTCACAGGATTGTAGCCAAGATCAATAGCAGCATTGATAGATTCCAAGACCTTCTCATGCCCCTTGCGTCTGGTCAAGAATTCAAATTTGGCCGGCACCAACGTATCTAAGCTGATATTGATAGAATTAAGGCCAAACTCTTTAAGCTTGGGAAGTTTCCTGGCAAGAGTGATTCCATTGGTTGTCATGGCTAGTGTCTTTAACCCTTTAAGACTAGACAACTGCAAGCATATGTCTTCGATATCTTTCCTGATGGTCGGCTCTCCCCCAGTCAATCGAATCTTGTTGACACCGGAGGTAACAAACAGATTTGCTAAACTGACGATCTCATTCGGCGAAAGAAGCTGAGAGCTCGGAGTAAGTTCTACCCCTTCTGCTGGCATACAGTATTGACACCTCAGATTGCAACGCTCCGTTAAGGAGATCCTCAAGTAAGTGTGGAGCCTTCCGAAAGAATCGATCAACATATCAGAAGGAGAGCTCTCTTTGGAAGGATCCTCGCACAGCTTAGCACAGGTTGTATACATTGACGTGCCGTAATGATCCAATGAACCTCCCGTCTTACAACTTCTCACCAAGTATGAACCAACCTCGTAGCCAACCTGCCCCACAAACAAAAACTCTTCTTATGTAATGTTAAGAATGAACGAACACACCGTTTGTGATCGTGGGTCACCGCCTAAATCTTGAGAAAATGCTCTGCAGCAACTCTCGATCATGAAACACAAGAGGACGATGTCCTCCTCGCTCCATTAATACGTAGCTTTAAAAAAAGAAGAAGAGAAATTTGGGCATTCTTAACAGAACATTAACGAATATCTTCCATCAGACGACGTGCCCACGAAATTTTTTCTTTTTTCCCAAAAAGGCTCAACAGACCCCAGAAGCAAGAACCCGAACATCAAACTCGTCATCGACGACAGCAGACGAAATGGGTCGAAAGCAAAGACCACAAAAAACAGACGACGGGAAACGGAAGAGGAGGCGGGAATCTCACAGCGGAAGAACGCAAGCCGCGGAGAGCCGACACGCTCTTGGAGAAGAGCACCATCCCGCGCCCCCCCCAGCAACGACCAGCCGGCGACCTGAAAAAAGGGAAACGACGTTCGACGGTCAAATTCGCGAGACGGAGAGCCGTTGCAGAGCTCGTCCCCCCGAGAAATGCTCGCGAGCAAGAACACGAACTCTGGTTCGAATCAATCGCGTCGGGAACGATGGAGACGCCATGACCGACCTTGTGGGAGAGAGAGAGAGGATGGACGGACGGCAAATGGCTTGACCGACCTTGTGGGAGATTCTCTCTATACGGCTGGCGGCTCTTGGGTGGTGCTGGGGACAGTCGCCCAGCACAGCCTGGATTTTCTATCGTACATAATTACATATGTAACATATGTATGTATGGATAGAGGCAAGAACAGAGGAATTTGGATTTGGATTCTTCCGTCGATCCCACGTGGATTCTCACTTTGGATCACTCTCCAATGGGACCTCGCCACGTGTAAAAGTCTCTCTCCGGGACAAGGGACGCGCGTCACCACCCGTGTCCACGAAATTAAATGGCATCGCGACCGTTGATCGCGCAGGACTAGGTCTGCGATTAGCGTGATCGACCGGTAAAATAATATCGGTTCGGTTCTTGGATGCTGGATGTATCATGACCTTCACCTGCACATTCAATCAACTAGAAAGTTATTCGCTCGGGCTGCATTTGATTATTCGGATTCGGACTAAAGATATAATAAGATAAAATCCTCCAAATATTCTCTAAATTGTATAAATATATATCATTATTTATTTGGTGCAACCTAATATAGAAGTTGAAATCTTTGAAAATATAAAACCTAAAAAGCTACGTTTGATCGTCCGGATTTCTAATCAAGATAGGATAATAAGTCATGAGATTTTGTCATATCTTATCTACTGTTTGGTGAATTTTGAATTTAAAGTCGGATATTTTTATATCCTATCTTATCCATTGTTTGGTAAGAACCGGATACCAATATAAAATACATATATGCCCCTATGCAGTGTCCATGAAATAATATCAATCTCATCATCATAAAAATATCTTTGCGTGACAAAAAATGACAAAACCTGTTGTCACAAATTCACAAGGTTTGCTACTCTAATGCACGTGCTGACTAACATTACTAGCCATAATTGATCTTAGCAGAAAATACGTGGTGCTTTGTGAACTCAATGGAGAACAAGGGGGCTGAAGGTGGATTCTGGAAGCCTAGAGGAGAACCCCGTGATATAGTTGGTGATGCTTCTATCAATTGTTAGGTAGCAACTCATGAATTCTATGAAGAACAGGGCCGCATGTTGAAAAAACTAATTGGTTGATGCTGGAGGACTATATAACTTTGAAGGTGTCAAGAGAAGCTATTTTGGCAAAGTATTACCCGAATTCCACGTTGTCTATGCTAATTCATGGATGCATTTTTACTCTACTGCCGGTCAATGGCCAGTTTAGGTTGGATTTCGTGCAGGATGTTAATTCGCTCTGCAAAGTCTTCTGTAGTAGTAGCTCGCCACCATCTGACAGTGAAATGCTGCAAAATATTGCGGGTACTGAGATCCATTGATAAAACTATGTTTACTCACCGCCCCTAGATAATTTCAACATACCTACCGAGCAATGTGCAACCAACCAGATTTCACGGATTGAAGCTCCTTAAATTCGTCAGATTAGAGCTACGGAGAAGAAGACGTTTCAACTTTCGCTACTTTCGTAGTTTGGTTTCGTGAAACTTCGATGTGAGAGGAGTTACGCATGTGAACGAAGGAGAAAGAAAAGAAGAGCGTAGGGTTTTCTGAAAAATAGCTAGATAAGAGAAATCCCATCCGGGTTTATCTCAACTCTCCTCTAGAAATTTTTTATCCGGGCTATATTCCTTTTATATCCGACTTTATCTTATCCTAAAAATCTATCAAATACATGATAGGATAAAAAATATCCTATCCTTACTTTTATCTTGACAACCAAATGCACCCAAATAGGATTGAAATTCTTTGGAAGTTCTTCTTGTTTGAAAATCCCATCTCCAATCGACTCTTTTAGTATGTGACAACTCAAACCCTCGTGACCACTGTCGTCAACAAGCAACAGTCTTTGCGAAATTGATCTCAAGAGTATGACGATTCTCAACAAACATTAGACTCGCACATAATTCTGGTATAGCCTTGTCAATAGCGGGAGGCAACAATGAACATGTAGTGATCTGAAGTGACGATGTCCATCACTTTATCATTGTTAAGTTATCTATTAGAAAAATTTATCTCATATGGCTTTCATTTTGTGTTTTATCCGGTTGGATCGAAGAAATGTTACCAAATGCCGGATATGATAGTTTGTTGTCTTATCCGACCTATCAAACGCAACCTTTAACGTATATCTTTTCGATTGATTGGATATACGTGCGATGGAATTTCGTAACAAATTTTCCCGTTGGGTGGGCGTATCTTCTTCTGCTTAAATTTAGTACCACCCCGAAAAAAATAAAGGAAAAATAAATTGATGCAAGATGAAATTCCGAATTAGACTTGAATTAGAAAAAAGAAATAAAGAGAGAGAGAGAGAGAGTAGGCTTAGTTTGAAAGACAGAGTGGGCTACTTCCAAGCCCGCCCAATTAACGCATTTGGGCTTGGCGGGCTTGGGCTTATCGGGGCAATCCATTTATCAGATCTATTATCCCAAATAAAGAAACTTCTATTTTTTTGCCATTTATTGACGTGGGTGAAAATGTTACTATTTATATTCTTTAAACTAGATCAACTGAACAATTTACTTATTATTATTTACCTATTATTTATTTTGAGTAAATTTTATATGTTTAATAAATAATAGAGAACTCGAATTCCTAAATATAGGAATTTTCGACATTATCGACGTGGACACCCACATCCAACTTCGAACATCCTCGTATTTTCAGAGAATTTTCCTAATTCCTAAAACAATATGGTCATTTTTTATTCCATAATAAATATAATAATAATAATAGAAAATTTGCTTAGTCATGTTTAGAGTCTAGCCCAAATCTTAAACCTTAATCCCAAAGAGAGAGAGAGAGAGAGAGAGAGAGCGTGCACGCGCCCAGCACGTGACGCGAGGTAGTCTTCCTCTTCCTCTTCCTCTTGCCTTCAGCTTCAGCTCTAGGGTTTCGTCTTGCGCCAGTTTCTTCCCTTCTCTTCCTTGCCCCATCCTCTCCTCCTCCTCCTCCCCCTCCTTCCGGCCACCGGGATCGCTGGATGACGCCGCGTCCGGCGGTCCAGATCGCGGGCTAACGAGCGGTTTCGGTGACCCTTGGTCGCGGCGTGTCCCGGTGGTGCCGCGAGGCTTGGTGCGCTCGTCAATGTCGTCTTTCCGTGGGAGCCTGTAGCGATTGAGGCCCTCAGCAACCGGCTATGTATCCCAAGCGGTCCGGTCAAGGGGACGTGCCCGTCCCGAGGCCCGTGCGCACCAGCGATAGGCTCCGGCGGAGGCCGAAGATTTATGGCCGCACCTACTTCTACTACAATCCGTCCATCATCCGCACCAAGAAGAGCAAGACCAAGACGAGGACGGCGGCTTCTCAGATTGCGAGGTTGCTGCGCCCGGGGACTCGGTCCGACCGAACCCCTAATTCCACGGTAGGTGCTTCCTCTCGCGGGCCGTGCGGCTTGGGTTGTTGGCTGGTTCATCACTAGTGGTGGGCGTGGAGGAATTTGATTTGTATGCGGATTGAGATTGATACACATGCCGCATTGCATGCGCATTTTGGTATCTTTTCATATGTACTTATGTGATGCATGTTTCGTACCTGTTCTTCATTCTCATGGACTGTGTGGGTTGTCGAATGACATTTGACTGCGTTCCCCCTTGCCCCACTTTCCTTTGGAGTAAGACTAAATTGAGTTAAAATTAGAAATAATAGTTATCTCGTATGTTCCATAGTCAATGGCGACCAACCTCCGGCGTTCTTCCAGGAAGAGGGTCTCGGTGCATTTTGATGGCTATACAGACAGTTCTGGCATGGAGGACGAAGACCTGATGGTGAGTCGACTCTTTCTTTTATTGAGTTAACATGGTATCATAAAAATTTGGAATCATCTTGCGGTAGCTGGATGTCAAAGTTCCTGTGTCGGTAGCGGTCCTGGCTTAATTAGTAATTGGTCCTGAAGTTTAGTAACATTTTTCTCAGATAAAGAGTTATAGATCTTCAAGGAGACGAATAGATAATAATGCAAGTCATGATGAGCTATCAACTCCACAACGTAGAAAAATTGTGGAGAAGAGATCAGCGCCTCGTCGTGAAGGCTTGCGGCCTCGTCATTCGAATGCCATCGCGGGACAAAACAATTTGCATTCAGATGATGAAGAACACGGCACATCTGATGAGAAGGCTGACCAAGATGGAGCTGAAAATGGTGATGGAGAAGATGCCGAGAATGAGGATGAGGGGGATGGGGAGGATGAGGGCGATCGCGGGGGTGACGGTGATGGTGAAGATGAAGGAGAAGAGGATGCTGATGATGACGAGGTTGAAGATGAACAGGAGGGTCGGAGAAGGTACGATCTTCGTAATCGTGCGGAAGTGCGAAGACTTTCTATGGATACTGGGAAGCAAAGACCAAGATCTCCGAGAAGAATATTGCATCAAGGAATGGGGAATAAGGTCAGTAGAGATGTTAGAAAGGGCACCTCTCGGGTTCATAAACGGCACCGTATCGGAAGGGCTGAAGATTCCGACGATTCACTTCTTGTAGATGAGCTGGATCAAGGACCTGCAATTCCCTGGGGACGAGGTGGAAACCGCTCAGGAGCTCCCTGGCTCTTCGGGGGACTAGATATGCATGGCACAACAGCCTGGGGATTGAATGTTGCTGCATCTGGTTGGGGTCATCAGGGTGATGCCCTTGCTGCCTTGACTAGTGGGATCCAAACTGCTGGCCCTAGTTCTAAGGGTGGGGCAGATATCCAGCCTTTACAGGTCGATGATAGTGTGAGTTTTGATGATATTGGTGGCCTCTCTGAGTATATTGATGCTCTGAAGGAAATGGTCTTCTTTCCCTTACTATATCCTGATTTCTTTGCAAGTTATCACATAACTCCACCCAGAGGTGTGTTGTTGTGTGGTCCACCTGGCACAGGGAAAACGCTGATTGCAAGGGCGTTAGCTTGTGCTGCTTCAAGGGCTGGTCAGAAAGTCAGCTTTTATATGCGGAAGGGTGCTGATGTGCTTAGCAAGTGGGTTGGTGAGGCTGAGAGACAGTTAAAGCTGCTTTTCGAGGAAGCGCAAAGGAATCAACCTTCCATTATATTCTTTGATGAAATAGATGGTCTTGCTCCTGTACGGTCTAGCAAGCAAGAACAAATTCACAATTCCA